ATGTACATTTGTTTGTACACAATTACTTCCTAATGTAAAGTTATTGCATATTTTTTGTAAGTTCTATAGCATTAATGACGTTAATTTTATAATAAAATGTAATATTGTGTTGTTTAATTTACTAAATTTGACATACATAATGAAGTATAATTTGTACTTCACAGTACATATATAACATATAGAATCTTGTCATTGGATCTAGAATTTGTCGGATTACAAGGTACCCTTTTATAAAAAATGGTACTCTTTTATAAAAAATTCTGGACTATAGGGAGTGTTAGGCAGTACTCTATAATCCGACAAATTCAATAGTCCGACAATGCCCTGCAAAATGTTTGTCGGATTACCGGGGGTCCACTGTTTATTGAAGATGGGCTATATTGCACTTAACCGACGAGCGCAGGTATAAAATAAGTGAGAGGGATGTGAGAGGGATGTGTTAGGATCGTGCCAAATGGAAGTCAGTAGTATGTGCCTACCCTTCTGACTGACAGGCGTGAGTGTTTTTTCTATTCTATTCTATTCTAATTAAGCTCAGAACTTTCCAGCTACCCCTCAAAATAAAATATACTCGGACGGCATAATATTAAATCCCTTAAACCATAGAAAAGAACGTAATGCTCTGTTTCTGCTCCTTCGCTATTTCTAAAAACTTGTAGACGCCTTCATAGGCGAACATACTCATGTATGTTCAGTGTTATTTACACATGTATATGCTGTAATTATATGTGAATAAGTGGTCTTGAATTCATATTAATAGCTATATATTGATCAATACTCCGAAAGCCGGTATTTACCCAGTGTTGACACAAAACTTCGACGCATGCGCATCAGTGTGTATGCCATTATGTAAATGAGACGGTGCCTACCCACAATAGTACAACTTGAATGAAGACCATTGTTTAGCAATTGTTGTTGTCGGTGAAATCTCAGCCACACAGATTCTATTTCCATACGTGTTATACAATTAAAGCTGGTTTCTATACATGTGCTATAAGATACAGAAGCTAGAACAAGGATGCATTCCGTTTTATTGTTATTCTGCCTTTTGTTATGAAAAATAAATACTCTAATTAGTTGATAGGTCACAAGTTAAATAACATTCCGAAAAAACTTCATAAATTAATAAAAATATATAATTTAGATTATAAGGCACAGCAAAATTTAGCCAGTTTTTTGACAGTTGTAGGCAGTATCATTTTGTACTATCAGAATATATTAGTGAATATCGCAATTGAGTCCTATGATATTGTTGGCGTCCTTTATTACATGTACCAATTGTTTCTCAAATTACTCACGCAATTCTTTCTATGGCGCAATATAAATTACTTGAATGGCGTGTCATTGCTTTTTAGATATTTTAGATATTGATTGACCTCTACTGTAGCAATTTACAGATAAATATGAGAAGTCTGTGCACAGATTTTATTGAAAACAACTAAACTAGTAAATAAATAACTGTAAGTAAGTTAAGTTATTACGAGTTTGAGGTTTTAGTATTCTTGTAATTGTTTAAAGTATTAAGTATCATTATTTTTATCGTAGCCTTGTAATTACTAACATTTATATCGCCTTATAATGTTTATCTATAAGCCTTTCTAAAATAAATAAAATAGAATAAAAAATAACTCGGTAAACATTTCATGACACATCTTTTTTATCACAAAACGGGTTGGTTAATTTATTTGGAAAAGGACCGATGTATTATACATATTTTTCATTTTTAGAATTTGATATAATTAATTATAAATAAGTATAAAACAAACAAGTTAAAATATTTAAATAGAAGCAAAATTACAGTACAGTATTATGCTTGACTTGTAGTTATTTTTGGCTAGTAATTTTATTTCAATTAGCAATATAATCTAATAGAATGACTACTATACTATGTATATATATTATATACCTACCTAAAATATATTATCCTATTGGCTTTACGTCAGTGTTTAGCCGTTTCCAGATAAGATTCAATTCATAATCAATGAAATCGTTTCTCCAGCATATAGTTTTTGATTCACTTTACATATTTTATGAATATCGACCAAACTGCAGTTGCGTGCTCGTTTTAAGTAGATTAAACAGTTCTATCGTATCAACGTTGACTGACGCGATAATTGCAAGCCGTTCATATTAACTTAATATTAACTTGAAACGATACAGGCTTGCTAGCAGCGAAATAATTTGAGCGCTTTGTAAAGTAAAAAGAAATAAATTTAAATAGGAATGGCAATTTATAATGTATCCAAGAATCAAAAACTATTTTAAAATTTAACACAAGAGCAATGAACTTTAAGTAATACACGCGACAGCGAAAGGGTTAACATTCACTTGCACTTTTTATTAAAGATTTCATAAGTTTTGTTAATGTAATCTAGCCGTGTGATGGAGGCGTAAGAAAATTCATCACTCCGTTTCGTTTCGTGGTAGAGGCAAATGTGTTAAATGCCAGAAAAAACATATGACTTCTGTCAGATTTGTTTTTATAGCTAAAGTGCGACGGCTTTACGTGCTTTTCGAGGCACGGTCTCAACCCTGTGCCTCGTAAAGCCGCTGGTCCTGCGCCTGATCTCACTCCGGTCGTGTCGGTTTATCGTCGCATCGAACTATGAGAGTGAGGGAATAGAGAGCGGAACTCTGCTTGCGCATACACTTGGGCTTTATAGTCCTGTCCTGTGCAGATAGCTAATCTCCATTGAGGCTGGCCGCTGTGACCGAAATTCGGTCTGGAGTACACCTGAAGCCAACTTCAAACAAAGAAGTTTACGGATGCGTTGTCACTTTTGAGGACTAAGATGGATTGCCTTGCAGCCTGCAATAATAGTGACTCTCTTATATCTATATCCTTTAGACCGGAACACACCAGTGCAAGCAATTCTATTTGGCTGCAGAAATAGGAAAGATGGTGGTATCCACTCAGGCTAAATCAAAGGCAGAAAAAGAGTCCTATCACCTATAACTATCTCGCTTACACCACACATAAAATATTGTCTCACAGAATACCAGTGTAAAATGACAGCTTGACACTGCTGTGTTTCGTATGGTGAGTGTAGAGAATCGGAGACACATTTTACTGGAAAAGAGGCATTCCATCTTAGTCTTCACAGGTGACGACGCATCTGCATTTTGATTCGTTATTGAGGATAAATGTAGATGTCTATGGGTCACAGCAACCATTTACCTTCAGATGGACTGTGTGCTCGTTAGTCACTATCCTATAAAAAAAAATTAAGACTAGCGATCGACAGCAGCGTCAAACTTGTAAGACGTCTGTCCACCCGCCAAGCGTGACGTTTGAAGCAAATTTTCCCTAAAACGATGGGAGTGTATGTACATCAGTCAACTCTTATGGACCGATAAAGAAGAAAAATATATCTGTCACTCAACTAGTACTTATATGCTTTATTTGACTTTGTCTTGCTGACAGTACATAAATAGCAATACTAAATAAACCGTTACAGCCTTTTAAAGTCCACTGCTGAACATAGGCCTCCCCCATAGATTGAGTGTTTTGAGTGTTTTTCAAATAATAATAATAATATTCCACAACTATCACACAACGCCATCTAGTACCAAGCTAAGCAGAGCTTGTGTTATGGGTACTAGACAACTGATAAACATACTTATATATTTCTAAATACATAAATATTATAGATAAATTACACCCAGACACAGAACAAATGATCGTGCTCATCACACAAACATTTGTCCTGGGTAGGAATCGAACCCACGACCTCCGGCATAGCAGTCAAGGTCACTAACCACTAGACCAACAGGCCTGTCAAGATTGTCTCATAAAGGAGATATTTGCCATAGTTGTCAGTGGGTGGGCAACCGCAGTTATTAATTTTAGGTCCTTATTATTAAGACACTGCTGTCCATCTCCTGATTTGTTTTCCACTGTCGCCTCTTACGTCTATCTTCGGCCATCTGAACTAACGAAGCGAAATGTAGAAGCAAAGCTTCTACTTCTCACTGGTATTCTATGAGGTCGTGGTAATTCCCCGGTTGGATTCGGCCCATCCAGAAGCTGCCGCGTGGCAGAGCCACTACAACATTTAAAACCTTGTAAAACGTTTTGTCTACGTAGGAATGGAGAGAAGGATGGTATGATAGATGATGGTAGAGTAGAGAATGTTAGGGTTATCTATACAAATAAATAAAATTAAAGTATCTATTTGTAATGTTAAAATAAAAACTTTTCACTAAGTGCATTTGTAAGTGTGTATTGTACTTATAACAAAGCACAAATTTTAAAATGTTTGTCTGTCTGTTTGTTTGTTCCGGCTAATCTCAGAATTGGCTTGAGCGATTTTAATGGGACTTTCGCTGGCAGATAGCTGATGTTATAAGCAGTAACTTCGGTTACTCGTATTTTATAAAAAGAATTTGGGTTCCGTTCCGTAAAAAAAATACCCATGAAATCCAATCGTAATAAATTCAGCGCGGACGTAGTCGCGGGGAACAGCTAGCAAGTAATAAGCTTTAAATAATTTCTTGAGACAAAGAGAGACTTAGTATGTCAAATGTATAGAGTAATTTAAACCAGAAATAAGAACCATCAAGGGCGAATCAGTAGCCACTTAAAGAAATTCGTTATGGCTATCTGAAATATTTCTTTCTCAGTAGAGGAAGCTTTGTTTTTAAAAATGTAAATTTCAATGTAAATAATATTAATTACGTATAGATAAATCAAACTCATAGAATACGTTTGCAAGAGATGGCATGATGGCTGAATGGCAACAAATGAAAAACGGAATTCATTATCTAATTTGTGTTATAATAACCATTAATATAAATAAACTTATGTAATTTTAAAGCATAATATTTGTTTTAAACTTAATTTATGAATAAAATTAAATGATTATGCTCATTATGTAGGTTAACGGTCTTCATTTACATGAATTAAAAGTTATTACGTGTGAATTTATTCGGTGTTTGTTAATTATTATTTTCAATAAACCCAGTTCTTACACAAAACAAAATATAACTCATTACCCTACCTGCAAGTACTTGTTCCGCTTCTGCTCTCTATAAAGCCGTTTCATATGTTCCGCCTGCTGTCTCGCTAGTTCCCGCTCCGGTACAAGCGGCAGCGGGTCATGGCGCACCGGGCATCTGTAGTGGATGTTCACATCGCTCTCCACGTATCGGCGGCTGGGTGATTCTGTAAACACAAAGGTGTTAAGGAATAAAGGTGGAATAAAAACATGAAGGGAATGCTGTGTTATTGAAAATACTGTCTTGTTATTAAACTTTATTTATTCGTTCGCCGTCTCATCGCATGCCAATAATTGTGTTACTGTAAAAATTACATTATGTGATAGAATATAATATTTATATGTTAATACAATATTTGACACAATAGTAGGGCCTAAAAGAGTTGGCCTCCTTTCCTAATTTATATGTATATATTTCGAAAATAAATATACATAATTGGATTATAGGTGGTTGTCCTTTGCCATTGAACATAGAGTAGATCAGGAGATCAGATCTCGAATAATACAGAGGATTGCACACACAATCTATGAATATTAAAGAGGTCACCCGGCACCTATGTGCCGAAAAACTATACACAAACAATGTTTAAGTCAAATGGTGGCGCCTTAAAAGAATCTATCATGTTATCGTTCATAAATGGTGATATACCATCTTGTATATGCCAGCAATGTAAACCGTGCGATATTGGAATTCTAATCTGTCTACCCAGAATGTGGCGATAATAATACATTCTCTTTCTGTGAAAACCCCATTTTTAATTGGTTAACTCTTTACTGAAGACCATACTATAGTTACTAGCAACAGTTGGAGTTGTAAGTATTCATGTTGAATTTGCTCAATATCCTGAATTTGCAAGAGTTATACAAATCTGAAATTATTGCAAACAGAGAACCGACGCACGATTGAGATAGCGTTTATTGGATATTTATTATTATCAACTATTTTTATTTTTTTTTTATTTCAATTATTTATTCATTATCAATTGTTGCTGTTTAAGATGCTGTTTAATCTTAAATATCGAATTCAATAAAAAAATATTTTCGAGATTATGATGCGCGCATAACCAGTTTATTAAAGTATGGTACTTAGTACTTACATTAAAATTTGAAAACCACATATTATACCACAGTTTAGTTTACCATTTAGTTTGCCACAATATTATAGTTCTCATCCCTTGCAAAATCTATCAGTGCTTAGCAAAAACAGGTATTACATAAATTTGTTAATTTTTTTTTCTTAACATATTTGAATATAATTTAGCTACAGATAAATTACGTATGTTACTTCAATGGTGTCACAGCGTTAATTACAAAAATTGAAAAAAAGAGTAATTCTGATAGTGGTGTAAAAGGAAGTTAAAACCAAAAGTGAAAGTGGTTCTACTAGACAGAGCTTCATGGTGGTAATCGATGCCGTAACATGATCATTGGCTTTATGTTTCGGGTGTTGATTATATGACGGGACGTAATATTGCATAAAGTGAGCGGAACCGGTTTCAAGCGTAGGTATACTAGGAATTCTCCGTTACTATGTTCGCGGAAAATTTACTACGTCATGTAGAGAGTAAATGCTATTATATACATAATATAGATAATATAAAAAAATCTTACTATAAATCTAATGTGTATGATTACCTACCTTGTGTTTTGTTACCGTTCGGTAAGAATTTAAGAGTATCTATCATTATATGATAGTTTATGTGCTGATTTATCACGTAGGTACTCGGCGTGAAGGAAACGTCGTGAGGAAATCTTTAAGTGTAACTAATAAAAACGTACCATAATATGTTACGCGTTACGAGTAAGCCGTTACTAACTACCCACCTTATTTCTTACTCTTCTGTAAATTATTTCATATAAAATGGTCTATTGCTTAAATTACATTTATGTTTTATAGATTTAAGAAATCCTCCTAACAGTTTATTTATAATTTACCACCATTTTCTTTCATGTTCTTCATAAAATGTAAATGAAAGTCGATAAATCAGAATGAAATAAAATGAAAAAAAAAAAAAGACTAGCCTGGTAAAGATTATTATATATAATGAGAATCGTTTGGGGGATGTGACGATGTGATGTCTCGAAAAATGTATAGGTAATTTAATTAAATTTTTTCATTTGGTTTCTGAGCATTGGCTTTATCGTAGATGATGAAAATTGCGAAAGAATTATATAAATTATGTTGTTTTATTTTCACTACTTCGTTACTTGTATGTTGAAATTATTATAACGAAAAATGATGAATTATACGACTCTTTAAAAAAAGGCTCTGACTAGATGCGAACGGAAATAATAACGTAAAATGATTTGGTGAATTTTACTCTTTTAAAAATAACTGCGTAAGACAGTTTGAGTGATATAACAGAAAAGCAACATTACGTGCACTACTTTGAAAGTACGATGATTTTTTTTTAAATTAAACGTTGCTGTAACGCGTAAAATAGTAGTTTATTTAAATGGCTTTATTTTTATTTTACACAGCTATATTATAATCCCTGTAAGGTAGCTAATATACATTAAGGTGATTAACAAGCTAATATCATGCAACCAACTTTAAACAAATGGCTACAGGCATATGTAAGGGCTATATAGGTGTACCTTTGAATCTTTTACTGTATGTAACAAAAAGTAGACTTAAATATAGTAAAAGCATATAAAATAATAACCCCAGTAGTTTTTGAGAGGTAAAACGGCAACTTTTCTATACACATTCCCGGTGCGTCGCTTTTTTCCTTTACGAACTTGGGTGACACTCTGCAGTGTATCTAGATTTATATGATTATGTTCAAATGCGATTCAAATAATAATAGGAACATTAATGACCTCGAATGACCGCTTAACTGTCAACTGTCACTTGAAAAGTACGGCTTGCAAAGAAAATTTGTTTGTGTATTATTAACATTTTAACGCCGTATTTAAATGGGTCTTAGTATTATCAAATCTCAGTAGATTACTATTAAATTTTTTTACAAATTAATTTGAAATATTGATACCAAGCGGTGGAATACTACATAAATCCATGTTATATTTTTATAAGGGAAAACAGCAGTGATGATAATGCGAACCAAAGAGAGAAATTGAAATGCTAGATTCAGATTAATACTTTTTCGTTTATGGTTATTTTACAAAAGAAAAAATATATTTCATAAATATCTGTTTTATTTACCCTTCCTAACTGGTTTTTATTGACAGCTATGACGTCACAATATGGAGCCAAGTCAGTCCTATTCTTATTTGAATCACATAGTATATAAATATTTATCAGTTAGGTAGATTTATATTATACAAAATAAATGATTATATATTTGCCGTAGTTTTTCATTGCATTCTTCTGAAAAATGTGAAGAAAGTTATATTAGTAATATCCGAGAGTTTTACGTTTGAAGGTTTTTCAATTTATTTTCACGAAGATGAAACTAATATTATTAACTATATATTTTTGATACCGATGCTATTTTAATCATATAGGTCGTTTAAAACAACCTTCTTGATTGATATTAATAGTATGCAGCATGAAGTACAGCTAATATGTAAAACTTTAAGAGGTTATTATGCTATTCTAACCGTGTAATGGCGGAGTAAGAATATCCATTACTCCATATCATCCTGTGGTTGTCATAAGAAGTAATAGAGGCTAACAGAACCAGGAGATTAGCAGCAGCATCTTCCTGATAATAGCTGAATAAAGAAGCTGTGCTCGCCAAATATAACAAATATGCTACCTATGAGGCAATATATGAGGTATTACATCTTACTGTAAGAGATAGATCGTGGTAACATAATATATAATATTATAATATATAGTAATATAATAACTTTGTCATTCAGAATGGCCAAATTCCATTAAGAATCAAGATGTGTTTTTGTCCCTGTGAACTAAGAATACTTCGATACCAACCATTACATGAAGTTATAATAAATATGACAGACCCTAGTGCATTTACAACACGGAAGTACTTTAAAAGTTTTGATAAAATTTCGATGCTTTAAAATGTGTAATGTGACGAAATAAAGAAATACCATAAAAATAACATAAGTGCCATTTATACATTAAAAGATAAAATAGAGCTAAATAAAAAAAGGACAGCTAAACTTGTTTTCAACTCATTGAACGGATTAATGATAAATAACACGGATACAAGAAATTCAATCGTGGAACAGTTGTGACTGACAGACGTGCTGCGAAGGCCTAACGAAAACGAAAGCCCTTTTTAGCATTTTTGTTGATTTCCATCAACTTTCACAACAAATAGACATTCGGGGCACGCTTCACGCAATGCTACACTACGTGCCTATAGAATCTACTTAACTCTCGACCTGTTTATCAAAGATAGGTAAATCTTATCTTATTTATAATATTTGCATTCTGATTTTATAAAGCTGTTGAAAGGAATTTGATTTAAAATTCGTTACATTTAATGAAAACACGGCGTCTGTTTCTAAATATAGATAGTTAATTTAAATTGCGCGTATAAATTTGGTTTTTAGTATTTGTTTTTTTTTATTGGCTAATTTTTGGTTTATAAATAAATAAACAACTTTTTCACTTTAGAGTAGACAGGTATGAATAAAATCTTTACAAAACAATTAAATTCTAATACAATTTTTTATATAATTTTTTTAAATGATAGTATGCGTGTATGTTACAATATCTTAAACAAGCTTATTAGAATTATTCTTTGATATGCTTAGATGATATTTGTAATAATTTGAAAAAATAATTGGTCAAAGTACAGAAGTGTATTTTATTTTAACATTACCTCCAAACTCTTTTAGTTTCGTAACTTGTTAGTCAAGCATCTAGGTTGATTTCCTATGATCTATGTTGACGAAAACAGCTTTTCCGATGTATATTTAAACATTTGTATATCTAAGCATTTTTGATAAAAAATTGTTTTGGGTAGTTAGTAGATTTACTTAAAATTTAATTATCTTAGGGAGTAGTTATATTTACCCTAATTTAAGTAAAAACAAATAATGAAATAATAAGTTCGTAATTGTTATAACTATATATAATACTGTAAAATGTTCATTAATAAGGATTGTTTTACTATTTTATATTATATATAAGTTATTTTTTAACTAAAAATAAAATCAATAAAATAAAAAAGAAGACAATCATAATCTTCTTTTAACTAACCGTATGTAGTCATTTTTTTAATTTGTTTTATAATTCCCATCGCAGTTCAAACACTAATTTGGAAACAGTTTGCACAAATTTCGGAGAAATAATTAATTTTAATTATTCGAAGTAAAGCACAGCACTACGGAGTGGAGGCGTCTTGCGCCTCACCGCGCGACCACGACGTTTGACAGTTGTTAAGATCAGTTGCACTTTCTTTTACTCGACAGGTTTATCTCTTGCTACAAGTAACTTATGTTTACATGCATACGTAACATTACCATATTTGACTTTGCTTTACCGACCAGCAACGTTCGAATACATTGAAATTTATTATTAATGGCATATCTAATGATAAAAATTACTACAGCTTTATTTTGAATTTTTTCTTGTACTTGTGCAAACTTTTTAGGATATAAAATATAAAACCGATTTTAAAATATTTGTATATGAAAACTTGACAAACTTTTATCACACAACACGAACACATACATCGAAAATTATGGTAGGCATGCAAACAAAAAATAAATGTTTTATAAAACTACCCATTGAAGTCTCAATATTATGCGCCCCGTCATCGTCCTCGTTTGTGAATCAAAATGCAGATGCGTTGTCACTTGTGAGGACTAAGATGGAATGCCTCTTATCCAGTAAAAAGGGTCTCCGATTCTCTACACTCACCATACGAAACACAGCAGTGTTAAGCTGCTATTTACAGAATACTGTAGACCTATTCTAAAGACCACTCTGGTCTTTCCCCGGTCGAACCGACCCATTCGTGCTACAACTATACTACTAATATAGCTGCAGCATGCCTCTACCACGTATAAAATTATAATAATATAATTGGCCCATCCGTATTGGTTACTCTGGTTCAATATCTTCAATGAGATTCTATCACGCAGATAAACTATAAGTGTAGCCCCACTCCATAGCTCCTTAGCGACTTTTAGCCAATTTATTAATAATGGCAAGTAACAGAAACGCACTTACTATAAGGTAAAGGCGCATAAACGTCGGGGTAAACGTCAGTTCTATTAATCCATTCTGTAACGTCGTGTGTCGTATGACGTTTTAGATCGCCATTAGCATCATTTAACTTGCTTCTTAACAAGACTTCATTTTTATAATTATCATCCTTACAACTTCCGCTATTAATTTTTATGCATTTTGCAGATGTTGAATTATTTTCCGCTTGTAAGTGATCTTGATATACTATACCAAAATTATATTTTTCTTTATAAGATATATTATTTTTTTCTTTTTCAGCAGGTGAATTCGATTCCTTGTGTGAATTTTCGCATAATTTATTGATTTTGAAATCATCAGTCAATTCTTCGGTATTTTTATTTATACTTTTGTCCTTTATTTCACTTACCGATTGCACCTTTACAATGTTTAGCACCACATCAATATCAGATAGTGGTGTTAAAATGGTTCTTTTTTCCGATAACTCTACACTTTTTTCACTATCTGAATCGTATTTTGAAACAGAATCGTTTGAACTGGCCTCTTTGGAAAAATATGACGAATCATTGTGTGGTTCTTCGCTGTCGTCATACAGCAAATTTTTTTTTACATATCTATTTAATGCCACTAAAGATTTTGAAAGGGATCCCGAGATAGGCACGTCACTGAAAAACCCATCGTCATCGTAAGTTACATAAGCGGCTTTGCATTTTTCACTCATTTTGTATGTTAAGGATTCCAAACACTACTTCAGCATGATTTATATTCACCCTCGGGTCCGGCTGTTCACGCTAAACTAAAGCCACGATAAAGCTTTATCACTAAACACTTAAAGATAAAACTTGTCGATATCACTAGTTTCTTTGTAACAAAAATAAACGCAATACCAAACCGTTCATGAACAGGAAGCTTGACAAACTATTTAAGAATGAAAAAACTGAGCGAACAGGTTTTAGCCGAGGTAATCTCAATGACGCAAATATATCGTTAAGAGTAAATAATCGCGGTCTGATAAATAAAATATATTCATACACTTAAATTGAGACTACATATTATGTCGCCTGCGTCCGGACGAATAACTTTTGCGTCTTGGCGGCAATTGCTTTAAACATAACCATTGTTTCCTTTTTCACACAGATTTTTTAGTTGTAATTGCATCGCCTCTCTCTATGCGATAAGTTGGTATCGGAAGGAAAAGGAATGGTGATAACTCTTGATGTAATAAAACAATAACATTATAAAAATAATACAACTAGTAGAAATTATACTTGCCTGTGTCTGAATAACTCCCGTGTGGTATTCTGCGTGGCGGCTCTGGCGCTGAGTCGGTCTCTATCATAATTAATAAAATAGAATAACATGAACAAAATAATAATACAAAATGTCTAATGTTAGTAAGGAAAATAAAGTTAAATACATATTAGATTCAAAATTTGCAGGTAAAAACGAAAGGTTGAAGCCAATAAAAATGAATTTTACTGGGATTAAAACATATAGTAAAAAATATTGACTCCAATTTTAAACATACAAATTGATAAAGTACTGTTATTAACCTTGAAATGTGACGGTGGGGCGCGATGGCGTGACGAAAGGGGCCACACGGTAGAGCCACGCAGCAGGCGGAGGTCGAGGAGGTGTTCGAGGAGGCTCATAGCGACTAGCTGGACGATGTGCCGAAGAATCTAATATTTGTTGTTCTACAGAATCGTATTTTAACTTAGAGCTAAGATTCGTTTCTTTTGATACCGATTGCTTTGTTTCCTTTTTAATTGGCGATTTACTGCCTTTTACGAAAACTGAAGGATCTTTAATTGATCTGTTGTTATCACTAGGCTTTGGGTATCGATGAGCAATCCAAGTGGAAGCTAGATATGGCGGAATATCCTGTAGTTCACGCACATCAGGAGCAGAAGAATATATAGGACCTAGAAGTGACATTGCTTCAAAGCGACGTCTGATACGTTCAACTTCACCGGGTCGACATTCTAAAGCTTCTTCAGCAGATCGAGATCTAGGTGAAGAACGTCTACACAGTACTGCTAACTTTGAAATAATATCAATATGAGGCATGAAACGATTTTTTGGACGAAGTGGGACTCGAGCCACTGGTAGTATGGCTCTACACTTATCTCGGTGAGACGAGATCCTTTCAACAGAGGACCAGTTATTATGAAGGCCATTTCGAGCGATTTCTGGATCACTTCGGTATCTGCGTAGTACTGCTCCAGCCGCTGATGGCGAGTCGAAACGTCGTGCAATGCGACGTACTTCCCCGGCACGCGCCAGTTTTATATAAGTACGCCAATATCGCTCTGCATCGGGCGATGGAGTACGACTGCGCCACATTGCCTCGTCGCTTGAATAACGTAGCGTGTCAGGCGTGCGTCTATCGCTAATGCATACTTCCGAACAAAGCGAAGACGATCTTGAATGTAGGTCAGGTTTGGATGGCAAAGATAAAAATTTATTTTTTTCACATTCACCAAACATTTCTTTCAAATTAGTACAGGACTGGGATTGTGATATTTGTTTAAGTTGCAGTTCATTATTTTTAACATCAAACGATATATTTGAATGCACTGCAGTATTTTTTTCATCAGAATTTTCACTCGCATGATATGTGGTTTTTGGTTTATTTACTAGATTGTTAACAGATTCAAAATACTCGACTTTTCTTAAAACTTCTTTACTTGGACCTTTAAAAATTACAGTTTTGTTAGAAAGATCTGAACTTCCAGTTTCTGTTTCGCTAGTTGAAGACTGATAATTAAATTCACTTTTATCTGTTGGATGTACATGTATTTTTATATCATCTGCTCTCCCTTTTGTCCCTGTGTCGCACAAATTTAAATCTTGATTTTCTTTAGTTTCAAGTAAATCGTTATCTTGTGATACAAATTGGGCATTTTTTGAATCAGTATTGTGATCTTTATTTAAAGAAATTGTTAAAACATTTTCTTTCTTGTTTATTCTGTTCAAGATTTCCTTGCTCAATGATTGAGATATCTTTTTTTTTTCAATTTCACTGAGAGTCATTTGAATTTTATTAACATTGTTTTTTAACTCTTTTATCGATGGCACCGGGCAAGTAATTGCAGCTATAGAATCTGATTTACATAATTCGAGCCCAAGTTTAGAAGCAGTAGGGGGTGTTACTAAAGAGTTACATCTTACGTGCAATGTTGGTCTTTTTGAACAATTTGTATTCTCGACTTCAACACTATATTTATCACTATCTTTGTTTGTTTTTGTCTCTACTTCTCTACTATATATTGCGTTTAGTTGATGTTTTAAAGCATTTACTTGTTCCATAGATAAACTGCTCCATAAGCCATTACCCAACCCTATTTTTTTCTGTAGTTCACTTAGTGAAGAATCCTGTAGGAGTGTGATGGTAGGTTTTACCGTTGCATGATGTTGATTTATATTTGTTACATTTTTTCTGTTTATATTGAACGCGGTTTCAGCAACGCTAGTTCCCCTCCAAAAAGGCTTATAATTATCTTTTGACTGATTTAACTGACCACTTAATTCCAACTCAGGCTTTTTTTCAAATTCTTCTTTCAGATTCTCTACAGATTTTTCTTTCACTCTAAGTCCTCGTTCCTTTCCTGAATTCCATCGAAAATCATTTAAATCTTTTGGGTTAAAAAGAAAATTATTCTCACTCTGTGCCAATTTTAATTTATGATAAAGATTATTTAGCTCTTCTTCTGCCCTTTCTATTGCACGTATTTTTTTCCAACGGTCAAAATCAACGATTTCTTCGTCTTTTCTTCTATGTCGTAAATCACAGGTAGATGTAGCCTTTTCAAGTTCAGCTACTCGTTCTAAATATGTATAATATCTGTTAAGTTCTCGAAATCTTTCAGTTCTAGGCTTACAGTTTTGTATGTCTTGAATATATTCGCAATATTCAGGGTCACTTGCGTATAAATTTAAGTCTTTTTTTGTTCTAAACGAATCGTTTTTATTAAGTTCTTTTTTTTCGTATTCGTCGGCACTTCTCGTTCTATATTCTTTTGTAAGAGAAATTTCAGATACTTGTTTATTTAGTATTCTAGCGTTGTGGATACGTCGGTATGAGGGGGACCTAAAAGCAACCGGTGATGTTGATTGACTCCTATTTTGGCAAATAATGCTTTTTATGACTTTTGGAGATGCTGGTCTTGAAGTTTGTGAAAAGAAAATTGTAGTAGGGCAAGTATCATCTTCAGATTTATTTATTTTTATGGGCTTTTGCACATTCTTGGAACAATCAGATTTTGATTTTCTAGCAATATTGACTCGATTTGGTGATGGTGTTTTAGAATGCTGTGGAATAATGAATATGCTTTTAGGAGAAGTTGACTGTAAGTTTAGCGTCTTAGAAGAAGATACATATGTGCTCTTTATTTTATTTTCTGGCGTTTCTTTTCTATGAAAAATAACGTTAGGTGATAAAGGCCTTGAAGTTTGAGAAAAATATATTTTATTTGCAGGAGGCTCGCTTCTACTTCGAACGGTTGATAAAGATGATACTGATCCAAATCCGTCCCATTTCGACAAGCTTGGAAGTTTGTGTATTTCACCATCCATTTTACCTGGCCATGAAACCGATCGAGGTCCCGTGATTCGTACAGGACTAAAATGTTTGTCCCATATTTTAAAACGCGAAAGAGAAACTGGCTTTCGATGTATTAAATATGTATTTAACGAGTTAGGTGAATTTTGATTTACATGCGGCAATGATTGAAATTGTTTCGCTTTTTGTAGAACCGAGTTTTTTTTACTATGTTCTGTTTCAGATTTTATAAAGAAAGATGAATTTCCTAGAAAAAGATGTTGAAAAAAGGAATTAGATAGAACTGAGTCTCGGGTTTTTTCCAATTCCTTTGAATTTATGTGTTGATATGTTATGTCTCTCAAATAAACTGCATTACAAGGTTCACTCACAATATTTCCAGATTGGTTTCTTGAATCTACATCTTCTTGGTTCACAGAGATTTTAATATTCTTCTTATCGCATTTTGTCTTTCCTTCCTTTTTTGTTACAATACCTTTTGATTTTTTGTTACATGCTTCATGACAAGGTACACTTCTTGGCTTTATAATAACACTTTCTAAATTTTTTTTCTTTTTTAGATTTGTTACAACTGCTGTTTTTACACTGTTAGGTTTCTTCGGAATGGATGGAATATGCGAAGTTGACTTTGAAATATTTGACATTGTTGTAAGTTGTAATTTTGATTTATTGATATCATTTAATGAAACATTAGTATTAGATAGGGTATTAATAGCTTTGAGTTTTTGTATTTTTTCAGATGTACGAACCATGTCCCTACTCTTGTGTGTGACATTTTTTGGTAATACCTTATTTCCCGCGAAAATTAAAGATTTATTAGGACTCGATTTCAAAGTCGAAACAACGGGTATTTTGTTAGTATATTTTTCAGTTTGTTTTGTTAAGTCTAGTCGTTCATTTCTTTTCTGTGAACTCCATAATTTATCTAAAGATGTAACTTTTTCTAAAATATTAGTGATAGGCGTTTTTCTTCCAGCTCCATTTTCAATTATAACTGATGGTTGCGAATTTACGCATTTATTTCGCGTAGCGTACTCTGTAGGTTGTAAGGTTCTTCGAGGTGAACTAAAACTGCTTGTGCCTCTTTCAGTAATAATTTTTTTTGTTATGGAATTTGTTGGATTTATATGAATGTTTCTTCTATTTACGGATGGAGGTGCAGAAGTGGACATTGCTCTGCGCTTAGATAAATTACTAGTATCTGTTTTAGTATCAGCAGATCCTTTTTTTGATATTATTTGTGTATTTTGTCTATTTATTTTATGACTCAGTTCCTTTTTAAGAAAATTTATATTTGATTCTTCTTGATTGTTCCGCTGTGCCAATTGTCTGTTGGGTGATATTGACAAATGCCTAGTGGAAGTTACTAGTTTCAGGGTATTGCTGTTTTTTGATGATATCCTTCTAGGTGGCGCCGGAGGACAATTGCTCATTATATCTGGTCTATTTAGTTGTCTTTTATTTCTAGTTGTAATAACTTCGCTCTTCATAGGATAGCAAACAACTTCGTGCTGGTGGGGTGCTTTTTTATGAACTCGTATCTTCGTCAGAGTGGAAGAAATCGGAATATATTCAATTTCCGATTCATCTGTGAAATTCCAATCGCCATTTTACAATGATGTTGCTAGTTAACAGTTTTATTTTGTTAGCCGTGAGCAACTAGTATTTTTGTGCTGTTTTATCTTCAAACTCGTGTACAAACCTAATATTTATTCTAATCGTGATACTACAAATGTGCTATATAATATCTACGTATATTTACTGAACGAAAATCAATTTGCGTGTGTTTAATTTTGGAGTTTATTTGTGCATGCACTAAATATAGAATTAAATTTACCTTATTAATAGTAGATTTTGTCCCAGCACCATGTTAGGAGATTTCGGAGTATAAGCACGAGAATGTAATATAATAATATCAACTTACCGTACGTCTGATTATATATATTATTTTTTCCGATGAAAAGCAATATATATCGCGACTATATCGAGATATTGTACACATTGCAATGTATGTACATTACGGTGGATAGGCAATCGCCTAGACTTATTTTTTTAAGAACATCATGGGTTGAACATATTAATTCGTATTCGTATTTGAATCGATTTTTTAATGGAGGAATGTAAATAATAAATAGAATAAACTGTTAAAACATAATTTTAGTTACCGACACCGAATAGCAGGCAAAACATGCTTACAACGTTAGATAAGTCAATTAATTTTAAAGCTAAATTACTATTAAATTGAATTCATTTTAAAATACTAGTAAATATGCAAAAGTATTATTTAAGCTATTGCATTCACCCGAAAACTTAATTCTAGAATGAGATAACGAGACAAATGAATTTTAACACTTTAACGTATTAGGCGAAATAAATTTTATATTGCATTAAAATTGTTTAAACAATACCGAAACAATAATTGGTCAATATTGATTTTAAGTAACAAAAAAATTTAATCATTTTTAAATACATTTTTTTATTCTGTTCTCTTAAAAAACGTTAGATTTCATTCAATCACAACTTTATAAATGATACAAATCAAAACATTTGATTAATATATTTTACCTTGTCTAGGTGGAGCAGGCGAACGGAATCCTCTTAGAGGAGGTTCTCCTCCTGCCTGTAGATCTCTATACGCGGCACGTCGTTCTGCTGGTGATAGCGGCGCATCGTTCTCTTCCCGGCGACGGAATACTAGCGTAGAGTCTGACTCATAGCCGGACTCTTTTAAGGCCCTAAAATTTAATAATTCATTTAGCAATGAAAATAGTGCATCATGCCTATTATTTACTTCCGTTTATGTAAGGCCCTTATGCATCTACTACTTGGCACAGGCCTCCTCTAATTTCTAAGAGGGACTAAGAGCAAGGAAGTATCCGCCGCGCTGCAGCAATCTTTTTTTATACAATATGGGTAACAAACGAGCACACAGTCCACCTGATGGTAGGTGGATGCTGTGGCTCATAGACATCTACATTTATCCTCAATTAAGAATTAAAATGCAGATGCGATGTCACCTTTGAGGACTGAGATGGAATGCTTCGTTTCCAGTAAAAAGCCTTCGCCTGTGTACATTCATTATACGAAACACAGGAGCATTAAGCTGCTATTTAATGCTGGTATTCTGTGAGAGGGTGGTTGCACCCCAGTCAAGCTGACCATTTGTGCTACAACCATAATATAGCTACTGCGTGGCTCTGCATCGTATAAAGTTTATTATTGCACATTTTTTAATTTCTCAGACATGGAAGTTTTCCTGTAACATTGAGCACGTGATAAATCAGCCTTTAAAATTGCAAATAGTAGTTTTATTGAACACGAATTGCTTGGGTTTTATGGCGAGCGCTTAGCTCCTGAGCTACAATGGTTGGAACTTCTGCTTACAATTAATGCCCATGCCCATAGACAATGCAATAAGTTTTGTCTATAGGGCAGGGGAATAATTGTCTGTGGATTACATTCTCATTGCTCTTGTATTTTTCAACTAATTAATAATACTTACTTCTTCACCAATTGTGAGCAATTATTAGGTTATTTTATTTTGGAATAAAAATAAAGCGAGATATTTAGGTGGCAGCACCAATGAAATGACGATTGGCATAGGTGGGTATTTCTGTCTGGGCTTCAGATGCCCTTTAACTTGAATGTGATAACTTGACATTGAAAGAATTAAATCAAGAGACGCCAAATAAAAAAAAATAACACTACATTTTAAAAGAAGAATGAAATGCATTAACGTTAGCAAGACATTTTTTGCATATTATTCTTGCTTTACTTTTGTTTTGCCATTTTGGTTGCCACCGGGTTTAGTAGAATTGACTTCATCTGGACTCTGTTAACACTTACGCTATCTCCTGTGCAGTTGAAAATCGAAAACCGAAAAAATAATTATACATAATTAACGTTATTATCATTATCAGTTAAATAACTCTGAAAATAAAAGCGTGAAGTATTTTACTGATGCGTACATACAGAGCAATTGAGATCCAATGCATCTGATACTGTGACCGTCAATTGCTTCCCTAGCGTGGTAATTACAGCATAAGCATACTTGTTGGGACGTTTTCAAAGGTGAAAGTTGTCTTTAAACTGACAAAGACGGCCCACAATATAACTTACTACTTCCATACTTTCCTTTATATTTTTGTGGATGCGTAAATCTGTTATGAAATGACATACAACATAGGCTTCCTACAATGATTGACTCATAGCCTCATAGTTGCCGTTATTAAGGAGACGCTGCTGCCCATCTCCTGGTTTATTTTCCTTTGTCGCCTCTTAGTGCACCCACGGAACGATAAGGGAATGGATTCTTACACGGTAATTAACTCACCTTGCCATGTTAGATTTCGATAATATGGTTGATGTGAGATCCTTCTTTTCCTTTGGCGACGTTTGCTGTAGAGACGTGGTGCTTGATATATTTTGCTGTAAAAGATTGTTTTGTTATATATTTTTCAAACTAGAATACATACCGTTACGAAAAAAAAAAACTTGTATTTAACGAATATTATTTAATCATAATAAGACAGTTGACCAGCATGCTTCAGTATACAATACACAATAAGTATTGACTATTTTTGAAAAAGATTCAAACATGCTCCTTCGTTTTAGTCCTACGTAAGTTGAGGTAAGAGTTTCAACACCAAAATAAAGCTATAAATAATAATAAATAAAACATTAGCAAACATTAGTGCACATAAAACAAGGATATTATGTATTTATCCTTACACGGATGTTGTAAATACATATTTACAAAAAAACAAAATCTTCTCTAGGTGTAAAATTTCTATAACAGTGTAACAGCGAATTTTTCCATAATATTTTGTAATCGTCACAATAACGAAAACTTAAATATATGTTTTTACTTAAATTAGGACATATATTTATAAATGATTATACTGTTTAAATATCAAACACATCATACTTCAAACTTTAAGTGAGAAGAATACCTTAATTAAAAACACATATTAATATACTTAAATAGAAATATGTAATGAATACATTTAATTTATTTTATTACATCATACATGCAGTACATTGAGCTTAAATACACATATGAAGCGTTATTTACTAAAGCTTTAAAACAATTCAAAATATGCATTCAATACAAAAAATTAGACTTAAATAAATTTTGAAATTAATCAAATCAATGAAATTTAATAACACGACCGAGACTTAAACTATTTAAATTGGTTTTTATTGGTATTTACATGGATAGTTTAATTTTCAGTATTTTGTAGTAAATAAGGCAATAGTATATAATGTATAATCACTACTATAAAAATGTAATAAACGTCATCTTAATAAGGACTGATTTTTCAACAATTAGATAAAAGTTATTCATAAAATTAATTAAAATTTATGCACATATAAAATTGCAGTTGTGTGTATAAAATAGTTTATAATAGTAACGTTTACATTCAGTCGGGTTATTATTTATTTGATGCAAAAATTTTCGTATTAAAATAAACAGAAAAAAGTGTTTGGAAATGATATAACTTTGTTTATAATAAGGTTTATAATATAGTCTTTTTGTAAATATAATTAAGATCGTGGTGTCAATCGAATAGTACTGAAATACTGACAAATTTTATTTGTCAATGAAATAATGGAATATGTTGGCGAGTGTGTTAAAATCGTTCACCATTTTGTAAATCGCAAGAACGTAGCAAAAAAAATGAATTCTAATATCGTGTACTTTTGCCTAACGTAAGTCTGTAACTATGTAATAAATATGTAACAGGTTTGAACGATACATTTTTTGCGGCAATCACTTGTTAAGTTTAGAGTTAGTGCCTAATTTAAAATTAATTCCAGCTGTCTGACACAAATGTGGTCGATTATCAATGGTTATAAAGCTAATGATAATATTTTTTAAATAAAAATAAATGAATGAAGTTGTATCAATCTTTCTTTCGATATTGTTTTTATTTAAAAACCTATCTAAGGAGATTTTGTTCCTGAGTGCTTTTTTGTAAGCATAATATTTAAATCAATAATTTATATTTTCAATAAGGCAAAAGATAAATAAGACAGGTTTTCTTATCCTAGAGAAATAACGCTTTGTAGCATCTATTGTCCTGTAAAAATTAATATCCTACATATATTTTTTCAATACCTGGGCACAAGCCTTTAATATTTTTGGGATGTTTAAGGCAGCAAAAAAATCTTCGTCGCTTTTCTAATGCATATGGATTGCCTCAGTTTCTCAGGCACGTCATTTTCTCACGATGTATTTGTTTACTTGTAGTATATCAGTATTTTGAATTGCAATTAAACCTTCTATTTTGTGTTCGCGAAAAATGTAAGCGCATAGACCTATTGCTTCTTCAAAAATAATACAATCCAATATAGAATTTATACTTTCAATCTTAAGTAGCTTGTAAACGGTCGATTGCTAGAAATTAGCCACTCCCATAATTAAAGGAGGCTATATTATGCTTCTACGTGCTCTCACCACGCTTCCGGTTATCACCAAACAAACCTAAGCACAGCCTAAGAATAAGCATAAATTTATAATCAGGAAGTTTATAATTTTCCTAGTCTGACAAGGAGCGTCAAAAGTGGGAGATTGCCAATCAGCTGTTACAGGCTGAAGAGGTAAAACAGACAAGGAAAATATACTTTTGTGTTTTGACGAGCACTACCGTGGTCTTGTTCCAGTTGTGTAGACGATAATATCTGTCTAAACTGAAAAGTTATTAATGCCATTAAAGTCAACCTGGACAAAAGACCGAATACTGTTCAATTATATAGTTATAGATACGTTATATGCCCACAAAAACACCAGAGAAACGGCCGTCCCAGCGGGAGCATACACATTTTAATTTTTTACTTACATTTCTCTACATTCGCTCTCGCTCTTCGTGTTCTTATCGAACCAGTTCTGGAACGTCTATTGTTATTCTTTTCTTTAAGCTTACGTATGTAATCGTGGCGTCATATTTATCAGCCAAAGGTCGGAGTAGCTAATTGACCACTTTCCGACGCTTCAGTTTTGACGTGCTAGTAACTATAACTACCTTTTTTTTAAATATACATATCATTAATACTGTTATGAGAAAACATAGTACGGTAATTGGAACTAATATTGTGACTCATTGTTGAATTATTGATTTTACTTATCTTTTTATAAATATCTTGACCCTTCTAAATTGTATTGTTGTCACTTATAATCATTAATAATCGTCCACTACTATAACATCAAATATACCACACAACAAGCAGACAGGTTAAGGGTCTTACACTTTTTTGGATGGCACGAGCGAGCAATGTGGTGTAAGGAGGCAGGGGGGAGTTGTCGTCTAGCCACTGTTAGTTCCACCACCGAATGCACCCACCACAGCGATGAAAAAACCGTTAATACGTCAGTTAAGAAAATATAAGAGACAATGTTATTTAAATGTTTAAATTATCGTGAAAAGCTCGGACCTTGATTTATTATTTACAGTAAATGAATATGTAAGTTAGAAATGTTATAAATACACGAGTTAATTTTATTGATGTAGGTTATGATTTACGAAGCCATAAAGAGAGAAGGTGGGAAGCATAGGAAGAATATTTTGTGAAAATAATTATTAACATGATTACATAATATGGATAGAGACACACGTAAAATACTAAAAAATATTCGTACCCCATCAAAAATGTCCATGACCTCGTCCCACCACTAGAAAAGAAAAAAACAATCTTGTTGTTGCTTAAGATATTTTAGCTGCTTAGATATTTTAGTGAAGAGTGAAATGTGGAACGAGCTGTTAGATCAATGGTGATATATACTTATTTAATTCCTGTTCAATCATAAATAATTGTAACGCGATGATATTCCAATGATATGTGACTGACAACCAAATGTAAATGATATTATGAGTATTTGTATGATGAAAATATGAACAATATTAGTAAGGAAAGCAACGTGCACCACGTTTTTACTAACCTGTTTTGCTTCCTTATCAACTACAGACGATTTTCCAGGTACATAATTTTCTATTCTCCCAGGTTGGTTTTTGTAAATTTCTTGACTAGCTCTCGCTGATGCCAGTGTACTATACCTTAAATAAGAAATGCATTACGAATGATCAAGATGTGTACTTGTGATTTTAAATATTGTATACATTTTTGAATAATTATTCGCTAATTCAACTCATACCGATGTTTTAAATTCATTATTATATGTATTAAAGAGAGCAAAAACTATCGCCATGAAAATTAAGCTTAAATCGACAATTTTATCTTTATACATCCACTATATACTTATTATCTCCTCTAACACATAATTTAAAAAATTGTGATTTAGATCGATTCATCATCCTGATGATGCCGTGAGGCAAAAAACGTCAGTATTTAGAGTTAATAAATTAAAATATAAGTTACAACAAGAGCATGTGCCAATCCAAGTCACATTTCACCAAGAGACAACAATCGTAAGTTTAAATAACACAACAATAAAACTTACTTATTGTTAGATATATACGATGAGAACGCGTCGTCCCTTCTGTCTTCTTGTACGGAAGCAGTTCTTCTTCTAGGTCCTGTAGTAGCATCGCTATCATATGCGTCGCTCCAAGTACTGGAACCAAGTCGATTGCGCCCGCCCTCCGGCTCACTCAAATAACCAGAACGTGGATCGAAGTACGCGTACTGAGATTTACTGCTCGACACTCTTAATGGTGGTTGACCTGGATTACAAAGACATCAAAAAGTTTTGACATTATAAGGTTAATAATTAGTACATTGATGAGTTAATTATAACATGATAGTTATTTTAAAATAAAATCAAGGTTATTGATTAAAGGTTTAAGTTACTTTTAACATATTATTTTCTTTTTTTTTAATTATATTTTCAATATTTCAATATACGAATCTTCCAATTAATACATACCATTACCTGACGCATTCTAGGAAAGGGTAATGGATTTATTGATGTGTTCTGCGTTTAATACATTTTAGCAATCATTTAGATTAGCTATTAGTAAATCGGAGACAAATCCTAACCGGTACCAAAATAAGGGTATATACAATAATACACAATTGTTGTAGTCATTTGTATAAACCGTGATGGTAGGAAAGTTGTAAGTGGAAATTGTTCAGATATAGATACGAAATTAAAAGAATAGCCTACGTGTACATATTGTACACATTCAGCCTGCCAAAACACATAGGGGCAGTGTGGCGGACTCTTGCATACGCTATAAACCTTTTGCCAGGATTCACAGTAGTATTACTGAGTTGTCTTTTCATAAATTCAAGGCACATACAAGGCACCAAGCCATCTAATGAAAAAAAAAATATATATGTATATATATGAATATATATATATATATATATATATATATATATATATATATATATATGTATATATATACATATATATATATATATATATATATATATGTATATATATATATATAGTTAAATTGTGTTGTAACTGTTGGGAGAAAAAATGTCTACGTGTGAGTTTCTTGCCGCTCTTTTCTCTACGTCTTCCGCAGTAGGAACTTGTTGAAGCGATGGCGTAGTTTTTTAACTTTCAAAAAAATTTCGCCTTTGCTTTGTAAAGGCCAAATTTTAATAAAAAAATATTTTGGCTTTGTCTTTGATTAATAAGCTTTGTTTTGTAATACGAGTATCACATATTTGAATGAAAAGAAGAAAAAGTAATTAATGTATTTGAATATTTATATTGTTCAAATTACACGTTACTAGAGCACTAAACGGTTGTTGGCTGGGTCACTAGGTAGGCGTTAACTAATATATTTTTAAATATTTTATGATGAATTTGGGGTTTTGGCGTTATTACATCTTGACTGATTGAACTGTAAACATAATATCATGTTCACGGCTCAGTTAGTCGCAATGTCATGATGTACCTGAATCATGCTTGATGTAAAGTCTAAATTAACCCTTTTATTTTATAGAATCTATAATTGTTGAATCCAAATTCTATAACTGTTTTATTGTTAAATTACTTATTGTATAATTCTTATTATACGTATGTAAAAAGTGCAATAAAACGTAATATTATTAATTACACACTCAAGACGTAGAATATTGTGTTAAGGGAAACCGGTAGATTTAGTGTCACTATCTTTACATAAATTATAAAGGTGTATGGAAAAAAGCCATTGTTAATTTGTTTCTATTTCAAGCATTCCGTATGAGGTTAAGCAATCACCAATGTAAAAAAAATTTGGAAAAAAATCAATAATAGTCACCTTGACGATTTTTGTATCGAATAGTCACATAATCGTCTGAAAAAGAAAATTTAAAAATATTTTTGTACTTTTCTTTGAAAATACAGCATTTGCGAAATAAAAATATAAAGTTGAGTATATACATAAATATATAAGAACGAACGTGAAAAGGTTTTTAGATGATATATAATAATGTATATGTATTGATTAGATATATTATTATATATTATGTTTATTGATTAGAACACTCACAAAATTGCTTTCAGTCAATAAAACGACGTCAAATAAATAATTCAGTTAGGTACATAGTTGTGTGTTTGACGATTATTCTAACTCACAAAGTTGAGAACAAAGAACTCACACTGAGTTCACAAATATATTGTCCATCGTAGTACCACTAAGTACGCGAAAAAATATTCTATGGCCCATTGCATATGATTCACTTTTTTGTAGCTCTCAGAATTAATCTCAATATTTTAATGGCATATTACCAGTTCGTATCATTATTTGTCAACTTTGCCTATTAGTATTATATTAGATAAACGTCTTTAAGCTACTAACGTCCATGTCACACATAGCATAGCTAGTAGTTGTTGGAACCCAACAGGAGAATTAAAAAAAATATGTTTACCTATGACATACTGTCCGTTCGAGGTAAGTCTAACTTCGAACAATAGACAGACCTACTAGGCCTGAAGTATCCTGGAAATTTCTCAGTAAGTCTCAAAACAAGAGTATGCACGCAGTGCATATAGTAAGTGTTGACAAATAGAACCAAGATATAGTAGATATCAAAATATCAGGCATAGACTAACGGATTAGTAAGCTGAAGTGGCAATGGATGGGCCACATAACTCAAAGAACTGACAACCGATGAAGAAAGGTTCACAAGTAATAGCCAAAAGCTCAAAAATTAGTGCAGTAAACATAGATTTTTTTTATAGGATAAGGGTAACAAACGAGCACACAGTCCACCTGATGGTAAGTGGTTGCTGCAGCCAATAGACATCTACAACTATCCTCGTTTGCGAATCCAAATGCAGATACGTTGTCACCCGTGAGGACTAAGATGGAATGCCTCATTTCCAGTAAAAAGGGCCTCCGGCCACCTGTACTCACCAAGCGAAACGCAGAGGTAAACCTCTACTTCACGCTGGTATTCTGTGAGGTTGTGGTAACACCCCGGTTCGAGCCGGCCCATCCGTGCGACAGCAAAAGCTGCCGCATGACTCTACCACTGTTAGTTATAGTATAGAAAGTTAGTTACTAAATCTATGGCAGTAAACGTGATCTTTTTCAAATGAAATGACGACTTGCTCATTCAGTACCGCGTTTTGTGGAAGTCCTATGTTCAGCAGTGGATTTGCAATGGGCTGTAATGATGATAATGATTGAAACCGATTACATGATGACATTTCATAGATTTTCAAGCTGTGAGAAAGTTTTCGAGTGTTCTAATGTTTATAATAACCCTTTCACGCCTAAATTAATGAATTCGACTATACAGGGAAAATACGTAAAACTGTTTATCTTACCGTCGTATTTGTTTTTGTGTATCGTATCGTACATTTTTTTGTACCACCGCGATGGATCTTTGACTTCCTGCAAAAAAGTTAAAATTATTACGTATAATGTTACTTGAAAACTGATAGTATAAAGAGAAAAGACAGATTATAGATTTAAGATATATCGTTTTTAATATTATTTATCACAAATCGATATGATGCGGTTAGTTGAACACTATTTTGTTGTCTGTACATCTATTCGTAAAAAACAATTCGCTGATGAGAGCCAGCGTGATGAGAGTGGGCAACACTCAGAGGTATTTTAATAGGACGGGAAATAAATTTCTTCGTCTTTGTTTGTATAAAATTGAAGATAAATCTCTTTAGTTGTACTGTTTGTATCTGGCTAGTTTTAACATCAATACATATATAGGATATTAAGAAAAAGAAAAATAAAAAGTAAAAAACACTTTCCCGCCATTTTTCAATTGTTTTTTTTTGTCCGCCAAAATGAGTTAACCTAACGAAGAAATTCGATACATTCTGAAATTTTATTGCAAAAAAGGGAAAAATGCGGCTCAAGCCACGAAAAAAATTTGTGACGCTAATGGACCTCATGCAGTGTCAGCAAAAGTAGTACAAGGTTGGTTCAAGCGTTTTCAGTCCGGAAATTTTGATGTCGAAAATACAGCTCGCTCTGGTCGCCCTCATACGGCTAAAGTCGATGCCATTTTTGATAAAGTGGAGCAAGAATATTAATATGCCGAATATTAGTAGATAGATAGATAGATAGATAATTCTTTATTGTACACCAAATCAATACATAAACGAAAGAAAAAGAAAAAAAAAATAGTGACACAATGGGCGGTCTTATCGCTAAAAGCGATTTCTTCCAGACAACCTTTGGATGGACAGGATTACAAAAAGCAGAAAATTGTGTGGTTTGGTGATGCAGAGACAATATTTATAAAGATTTAATTATAATATATAGAAATAAATAACAAATAAAGACATAAAATACGAATGCATACATATATAGATGGCTGAATTCAAAGGTTAAGATAGTGGTTGTGTACAAGCTTCTGAAAAACAGATAAAGATTGGGCGCGTCTCACTGACAGAGGTAGGGCATTCCATAGACGGACTGCTTGGATAGTAAACGACCTGTCCAAAAATTTGGTATTATGGGCAGGCATTTTTAATGTAAAATTTTCTGATGATCTCAAAACCTTCGAATGGGAATAGTGAAGGAATTCAAAGCGATCCTTAAGATAAGAAGGATAGGAAGGATTAAATAGAACATTGTAAAGAAGTGACAGAATATGAGCATTCCGGCGAAGACGAATAGGAAGCCACTTGAGCTTATTACGAAAACAAGAAACATGATCATACTTGCGCAAACCAAATATGAATCTTATACAAAAATTTTGAAGACGCTCAAGTTTATCAAGTTGCTTTTCGGTGAGATCAAGATAGCTGACATCTGCATAGTCCAGAATCGGGAGAAGCAGAGATTGTGCAAGCGCAATTTTAGTGGCAGTAGGCAGAAAGTTCCTTAATCTGTTCAATGATCGAGTAGTAGTAGTTACGACATAGCCGAAGAATTAAGGATTGACTACTAAACAGTTTTGGCCCATTTGAAAAAGTCTGGCTATACAAAAAGGCTCGATATTTGGGTACCACACGAGCTCACTGAAATAAACTAATAAATAAATAAATAAAATAATAAATCGTGTACTCATTTGCGATTCTCTATTGAAACGTAATGAAACCGAACCATTTTTTAAAACATTGATCATTGGTGTTGAAAATTGGATCACCTATGACAAGAACGTGCGAAAAAGATCTTGGTCAAAGGGTAGCAAGGCAAGTCAAGCTCCACAGACTGATGTAACCCAGATTAACACGCAATAAGGTGATGCTGTGTGTATGGTGGGATTGGAAGGGCATCGTTTATTATGAGCTTTTACCGCGGGGCAAAACCATCGATTCAGAACTCTACTGCCAACAACTAATGAGATTCAAGCAAGAAATTGGGAAAAAACTGCCGGAATTGATCAACAGAAAAGGAGTGGTCTTTCATCATGATAACGCCACACACATTTTTGGCTACTCAGCAAAAATTACGAGAGCTTGGCTGCGAAGTGTTAATGCATCCACCATATAGTCCTGACCTGGCGCACTCAGATTTTCATGTTTCGGTCTCTTCAGAATTCTTTTGGTAGTGTTAGGTTAATATCAAGAGAGGACTGTCATAGCTACTTGTCGCATTTTTTTCATCGAAAATCCCAAAAGTTTTACAGCAAATGGATTATGTCACTAGTGTGGATCAACAATAGTATGTCACTAGTGAAGATGGCAACAAGTTATCAAACAAAATGGCACATATACTTATATTATAATTAAATGTAATTAAACTTAGAAAAAAAAATGTGTTGAATTTCTATATAAAAGACGAAGAAACTTTTCCCCGACCTTATATACCTAAGCAGGTTCTAGTCTTAGTTTCTACAAAAATATCATTCAGGACGTTACTTTTAATATTTACACGAATACGACACAGACTACCTACAAGATGGCAACAAGTAATCGAACAAAATGGCACAATTATATATTACTATTAAATGTAATTAAACTTTGAAACAATAATGTCTTGTATTTGTATATAAAATACGATCACGAAAATGTATATCTGATAACGGTAAATTATCACGTTCACAGTTATTTTTAGTAAACACAAAATACCTATCTAGTTACAATTTAAGGGGCTACTCCATGCGAACGACCTTGAGCATTTGGTGTGCCGCGCCGACTCGCTACAATATAATATCACGTAAGAAATATGTAAGGCGCCACCTACTGTAAGAACGTAGTATTTTTTCAACATCAATAAACTATTTTATGGAAATACACACAGCGTACAACGATAAATGTATCTCAAATTTTTTATTCGGTATATTAGTTGCATTATATTAGAGTTATGTATTCTCATATAATATTATCTAATTATGAAATTTTATAATTAATTATATATTAAAAATGAAGCATTGAAAATTGTGAGTTTAAAAGATACCTACTCACTATAGGTAAATAGATAGATAGCTCGCCTTTTGTACAAATATTTGGTGCAATAAAGAATAAATAAATAAATAGGATGTTTCGCAGAGTGAGAGTAATATAGAATGAGAGTCGTGGAGGCAGTTTACAAACATAAATTGCACAAGGACAAACATCCAGACCCGGAACAATTATTTGTAGGCCATACAAATACTTGTTCCGTGCGGGATTCGAACCCGCGGCCCCCAGTGCAGCAACTGATTGCTAAGCCAGTGCGCCACGGAGCCGTCGCCGGTTTATAGCTAAAGTGACCATACGTCCCGTTTTGAACGGGACTGCCCCTTTTCTCAGTCGCCTGTCACATTGTCCCCAAACAAAGCTCCGGGACACAAAATTGTCCCGTAACTCGTTGGATGGAAGTATTCAAAGTCAACAATCTTCAACATAATTTTTTTTAATCGAATATATTTTATGTCTCCCTGGTACAAATGCTCCAGTAGAAAGAATATTTTTTTTTATTTTGAACAAATTGTGGACGTCTGAAAGAAACACTTACGGTTCCAGTTCTAAAGGCGATGTTGTTAACAAAGGTAACAATAAAAAAACTTAAGCAGAATTTTATTCTTATTTAAAATTATCACCAACTTTATTAAAGCAAATTTAATCCACTGACAAATGTAATTAATAATTAAAAAAAATATGTTGCATTTAATAATTACCGTCTATACCGAATATAATTTTATATTGAACACTAATTGTGTAAAGTTATAGTTTTTAGAGAGTAAATAAACCCATGTCCTGTTTTGAGTTAAAAAATAAATGGTCACTTTAGTTTTTTTTAGTTAAATTTAGTTTAAAAAAATTTTAGTTTATAGTAAAAAGTAGGTATATTAATACCTACTTAGATACTTTTTACCGAATTAGGGTAGAAGCCCCTAATACCAGTCATGCCCCTAATTGCAGTCTTTTCGCCTTTTTACTCCATAAATAAGATTTCTAGTAGTCTTAACTACAAATATTTTCATCTAAAAAATTCTTTGTACCTAGAGGAAACTATATTTATTCAAATATTACCTCGCAGTTTTAAACCTAACAGTGTTAAAATCAAAACAGGTACGCAACGAAAAACGATCATTTTCCTAATTATTTGACAAGTTATGATCCCGGTAAAATTATGCTTACTTTACATTATCTCATATATAGGCTTTTTGATTTGTATGAATATGACTATAGACATAGTAATGCAGTTATTTTTGTTTGAATTTACAACTTATTTATTTTCTTTTAGTGGAAATTAATGGGACTGTAATTAGATAATATAAGAAATGTATGGAGTGCATAATGTCAGCCGCCCGGCTGTTATTTGGTTTGACGTACCTAATAAGATGTACCTAATTTCAGCCACGTAATATAAATCAGAGCTGCCATAAACTGGAATAAATACCATTAATTAGATCATAACTTATTTTATAGCTAAGGGAGTTATGATCAATTCGTCTGTTTTAAAATTGGTTTTAGATTTTAAAGTTTAGCAAAAGATGTACTAGCTTTTCTCTCTGACATTCAGCGTATAGAACATCTTATGTACTCAATTTTTTTTTTGAAAAAGAAGAAAAAACAAGCAATAAATAAAAACAAAAACGGGCCAAAAACTCATAACTGACTTTTTGACAAGACCCGGGATTCGAAACCGAGACCTCATGATCAGCACTCGCACTACTACAACCACTAGACCAACGAGGCGGTACTATACCTAATAAGATATTGTGGTTGGGTGATAATATTGAATTAGCCTTTTATAGTGTAAATTATAATATTTGTCGAAATTTTAATTATGGATTCGAACCTTACATGCTAATGGTGCTTCATTTTTTTATTTGCATTTACTTCAAAGAAAATACACGCAAAAAGCTTCATCGCGCAGTAAAAAAACAACAAATATATGTATAACTAATACGAAAAATTATACCCAAAACAAACAAATAATACTACCTATAAATAACCTAATAAGTAATATTATTATCGACTAATATGACGTGAGTGTATGTGCTGGTCGACGCTCTAACGACACGGGCTTCGCGTCGAAGAGCTCAGGGCTCACTGACTTCAGCAAGCCCGTGAGCAGTGAATATGCCCAGATTTTAAAATAAATTCTTAATAAAATCAAATTTTGGTCTTTTGAAAAAAATTTTACTATAGAAATGTTCATTAATAAATTACCTATCCATTGGTGCAAATCGCAAAATAAAATAATACTTACTTTACGAGGAGATGCATGTTATCAATAATAATTTCACATTTATGTGGTTTCGTTGTAAGGAGAATATATTAATATTTATTCCTTTAAAAAAAAATTGGATATAGCTTTTATGGAATCAAGATTATGTAGAAATATAATGTGTTTTTTATTTGTTGATATATCTTTTAAATAAAAAGTAGATAGCTCCTAAAAACAGCACAAATAACGACTAGCGCGACATTTTGCTCAACCTGCGCCTTAAAAGAACATTGGATGACGCTCCTATGTTCACTGTCTATCGATACATAATAAAACAAAAGAAATCGGTTTAAATATGTATTAATCTGAAAGAAATAAAAATTTTTCTCATCAGCTAAAGCCACCCTACGTGGTAGGAACTTCTTTTCTGCCTAGGAGTTTCTCTGGGTAGGTACCACCACCCTCTCACATATTCCTGCCGCCAAATAGAAGTTCCAGCACTGATGTGTTCCGGTTTGAAGGATATAGAGAGCCAGCATGATTACAGACTATGATTGCGTTCTAATTCTCAGAGATAACAACGCATCGGTGGCCTTCTTTCTTTGAAGTTGGCTGGTCTTGTACCTGGACTAATACGTATTGTATATTTTTTATAGGAACAGGTTGACAAACGAGCACACAGTCCACCTGATGCATTTGCGATGCGATGACGTTTGCGAATCAAAATGCAGATGCGTTGTCACCCGTGAGAACTAAGATGGAATGTTTCGTTTTCAGTAAAAAGGGTCTCCGGTTCTCTACACTCACCATATGAAACACAGCAGCGTTAAGCTGCTATTTTACGCTGGTATTTTGTGAAAGCGTGGTCCTTCACCGGTCGATCCGACCCATTTGTTCTACAACTATACCAGTAATATAGCTACAGCATGACTGCCACGTACAGTCGATATATAACTTCTTGCATATTTTAATTAATTGCAAAGACAACTAAAATTTTATATGTAGTATATTTTAACGACCCGTTATCAATTTAAATATGTTTTCTAAACAATATACTTTTTTTATTATGTGTATGTAAATTTTAGTATCGTATAGTTGCGGTACTCCCTATTTCGTTGTAAGAGACGATTACGGCAAAGGTCAGAAAGACTTCATAGTCTCCAATAGATGACGCGATGAGGGTACACTGCCTCGTTTATTTATTTTATTGTTCTTGTTATTGTTATTTTATTGTTGTAATGTGTTATATGACATTTTCTACTATTATGTTTATTCCAGTTATAAAATACCTACACCGGCGACGACGCGTGCTATACGAAAGCCAGCACCATTATAATGTTATTTTATGACGGTATTACGTAAGCAAGGTCCTTTCCCGATAGGGTTGACCCGTTCGTACTACAATCATAATACAGCTGTGGCGTGGCTCTACGATCTACGATACACACTGAAATTAAAAGAAGAAACTTACAGATCTGAGCGCAACCGGCATTCCTTCTTTGGTTGTGGGTCCTATTCCTTCTATTTTTCTGGTGGCCTCGGCCATCTTATGGCTGCCGCCGTGAACGTAGTCGCCCCTGTCGACTTCTCCTTCGCTGAGGTAACCTTTACGTAATGCATGTACTGGAAAATACAAGCGTTTCTAATGGTTAATATCTTAATATTTTTATAAGTTATTGAAAGATATTTAGTTAATTTCATTTACACAATAATGTAATGCAATGAAGAATATCCACCACCCTATATCATCCCGTAGGTGTCGTAAGATGCGACAGAGGGAAACAAATCAGGAGATGGGCGGCAGCGTCTTCCTAATAACGACTAAAAATAAAATAACTGCGGTTGCCAACCCGCTTACAGGCCGTGGCAACTATGGCAAGTGTCCCCTTAATAGGCACTCTGTGTAGGAGGCCTATGTTCACCAGTGGACTTTAATAGGTTGTAACAATAATATTATTATGATATTTTTATGCAAATTTAATACCGTTTCTGGGAAGCACTCTTAAAGTTTTAAAGCGCTTTAACTATCCCACAATAATATAATATGCTTGGTTATATATATAGCAAATACAGCAATACTATATAGAATTTTTTACGTGGTAGAGCCACGCTGCAGCTATATTAGGGTTGTAGCACGAATGGGTCGGCTCGACCGGGGTAGGAACACACTGTCACAGAATACCAGCGTAAAATAGCAGCTTAATGCTACTCTGTTTCGTATGGTACTCGTAAGTGTAGAGAACCGGAGACCCTTTTACTGGAAATGAGGCATTCCATGTTAGTCCTCAGGGGTGACAACGCATCTGCATTTTGATTCTTAATCGAGGATAGATATAGATGTGTACGGGCCACAGCGTCCACTTACCATCAGGTGGACTGTGTGCTCGTTTGTATACCCTCACTCTATAAAAAAATACTACAAAATACAAATGATGGGTTTTAAGACTATTTATTATATTAGTATTTTATAAGACATAAGACTCAGACTAACAAAGAAAGATAGATGTAGCGCTACATACATTTAAGTTAAACCATGCTCAAAAAGTTTAGCATGATTTGGGGTTAACCTGCTATGCTATGCACTCAGGCACTAATAGCAATTTTATTTTTAACAGCCCGTAAAAGTCCATTGCTTGACGCAAAAATATGCACCTTTGTTGGTTGAAAATAATTTTAGATGTGTATATGATTCTGTGCGTGAGCGCGCGTCTTTACAATAACTTGAGTATGGTTTTATTTTGGTTTCGGCTTTACTTGAAATTTACGCAGCGCTTTGTCTATCTTTCTTTGTTGGCCTGAGAAATAACTATATTTTACACTTTAGATATTCCACACGACGACGACTTATGGTTGGTTCAACCTTACGATGCGGCGTTGACGTTTCGTTTCGATTTATCGTTATTGCTTGGTTATGGCACATCGAGCGATTGGAATTATTCATTGTGACACAATAAATAACTCGAACTAACGTCTTACCTGATCACTACAATTTATGACTATTCAAGGAAAGAGCGAACAGACTTTTTTTAGACCCATTAGGTGGAATTTTGTCAAACGTTGTCCAATTAGTGATTAAAAAAAAATGAAATATTACCTGGATCGCCTATCGGTGGAGAGGGCCTATCTCGAGGAAGTCGAGGATCTCTTTCGTGAATATTATTGGGCGCTCGCGACAATTGATTTTCTGAAAATAAAAAGATAATATTTAAACAGACATAATATTAAATAATAAGAAAATTTTAATCAATTTCCAAAAATGTATGTTATTTAAACAGCTATCTTAACGAAATGAAAAATACTAAATATTTTTATGAAGTACGCAATATTCGTTGTTAAAAAATTTCTAATATACGAATTCCTTGTAGATCCCCAAGGGGTTCATTTAAATCTTTAATCAAAACGATCTTACGTCATCAAGAGTTTATGAAAATCTGTTGAACCATGTCAAAGTATATTGAAATATTAACCAATTTATTTATTATGATTAATATTTATTGTTTGAACTATCTGATCATCTGAGACAAATAAATAAATGTTAATTCACTTGTTTTTTGTTCTACATTAATGGCTTCCAGATCGAACTCCGGTCACGACAGCCAGTCTCAATGGGGACTAGCCATCTGCACAAGACAGGATTATGAAGAGAATGTATGCGCAAACACAGGTGCAGTCTCTATTCTCTTACGTTCATAGACCGTTGAGATTGCAATCCGATACCATCGGAGAGAGATCAGGTACAGAAGCAACGGCTTTACGTGCTTTAATAGGTACGGGAGTTAAACACCGATAACTACCTGACTCCGAGTTACTACTGAGAATTTCATGTCAGAAAACCTAATAACAGATTTTAACCCGACCCGGGATTCGAAAATGCGATCAGATCATCAGCGGTCACATTAACAATCCCTAGATCAACAACGAGACAGTCAAAATTCTTCATTATGAAATAAACCATAACGAAAAAAATTTTTGAGCGCTGCGACAGGGTTTTCCGTTCTCCTGTTTTGTCTTCCATTCTGAAGTCCTACGCCCACATCGCATCACCAGTTAAGAAACGTTATGTGAATGTCTGATATAAGAACAGATATGATCTCACATGTTGTGTAAAGAGAATCACGACATGAGATCTTAAGGTCACGTGTACTTTCAAGTGCGGGTGAAGGTGTTCCGTTGCGTTGAATGGAAATAAAGTAAGTTCAAATCGAAAACCAAATCGAATTCGAAATCTATTTCGGGAGTAAGTCTGATATTAAGCGCTTACTCGCGAAGAAATTCAAATCGAGAAACAAGATCCAGTTACGGCCTAGCGTTATCAGCATATTACTATATTATTAACAAGAAATTATAAATTTCAAAAATTAAAATTCAAGTCTTTAATATTTTCAATACATAGGTAATATTTTCAAAACTTAGGTAATATTTTCAATACATAGGTAATATTTTCAATACATAGGTACATATTTATTCAATCATTCATTACAGCCCTTCACAAGTCCACTGCTGAACATAGACGTCCCCCAAGGAATGCCACAAAACACGGTCATGAGCCACCTGCATCCATCGGCTTCCTACATGCTTTACCAGGTCGTCACTCCATCTAGTGGGGGTCGCCCTACACTTCGCTTACCGGTATGAGGCTGCCACTCAAGAACCTTGCTTTCCCATCGGTTGTCCGTTCTTCGGCCGGCCTATTGCCACTTCAGATTACTAACCGTTGGGCTATGTCAGTTACGCTGGTTCTACTGCGGATTTCTTTATTTTTAAATTTATCACGGAGAGAAACTCCGAGCACAGCATTCTCCATATGTCGCTGAGTGACATTGGGCTTCCTTATACGGCCAGCATTGAAGGACCACGTCTCAGATCCATAAGTCATCACTGGTAATATGCACTGGTTGCATAATCTTGTTTTCAGGTTTTGAAGTACACCTGACCAGAAGATGTGTCGTCATCTCCCGAATGCTGTCCAGCAGAGTTGAATCCGTCGATTGACCTCGTGGTCGAAGTTGAACTTACCTAGTCGGACTATTTATCCCAGGTACTCGTCAACAACTTCGAGCTTAGTGCTCCCAACAACTACCGGCATAGGTGTGACATGGACGTTACATATGAGCTTTGTTTTGTCCATGTACATCTTATGACCTATCCGTTGGGAGACACAATTGAGGTCATAGTGCACAGCGGTTAGATCCTCCAACGATTCTGCCATAAGGATTATGTCGTCATCAAATTGAAGGTGAGTGATGTACTCGCCATTGATGTTAATACCGTATCTTTTCCAGTCCAGTAGCTTTTTTTCTTTTTTTTTTGGACTGTGTGCTCGTTTGTCACCCTATCCTATAAAAAATATAAATAATATTTCTTCCATGGCAAGATAAGAAAAAGTGCGAGGGAGATGCATGGGGATTCCATCACGCTTCCTTACTACGTCAGAAGTATCGTCGTGACAGATAAATCTTACACTTTTTCTTGCCTAGCCCCCGTCCGCCAAATTCGTACCGTCCGATTAGAAACTTCGTTCCGAAAATATTTATGAATGGCTGTTATCTAAAGATAAAGAAATAACCTTTATTGCAGTTATTTACTAATAAGCGGCGTGTAAAGCGAAAAGGTAAGGTCTATTAAGTAAATCAAAATTCTAAATGCTTATTGTGGGAGGTGCACATATAATACACGTTTATTGTTTAATATGAGGAGGCCCGACCTCCGTATACAATAAAGATAGCGCGAACACGACGTCTGTTGTAAATACAAAGCATGTAACTGTATAAGGAATTCACCAATATTAAGATTGTAGAGTCGCGTGAGGCGGAATTTCTTATCAAAATCCTCGAAAGTAATTTAACTGTGTTAAATTTCAACCTATGTTTTTTGATAATAAAAAGTAAAGTGCTTCGCTTAATAAATTAAATTTTATATACTATTCTCCAATATACGAGGATGAAATTGTTTGATGCTTGAAATAATATTACGAAGTTTTAACGCATTTACTAGTTTGCTATTCATTTTGTTCATACAAAGATTTTTATATTTTTATTAACTGCTTCAAATAACTAATAAGCTAATAATACTTATTCAATTTTATTGTAGGAGGTTAGTGAGTTGCTAAAGAGCAAAAAACATCACATCCGTTAAATAAAAAAGCCTAGTAATTATGACTCAAAGTGTTTAGGTTAAGAAGTAAGAAATGCTTACTTTACACATAAATAATTCCTGCACTGTTGTGCGTTGAGTAAAGGATATATAAAGCCAGTATGATTACAGACTGTTGGCATTCTATCTGAGTCCTCAGAAGTGGCAATGCAATTGTAGCCTCCTTTGTTTGAAGTCGGCTTCCAGTGTCTATGGCCTGCAGATGCCACTCTTCAGGAACAGTGTAAGGCCGGCCACATACATTTCGGAACTCCGTTTCGAGATTTCGAACGCAACAAATCCATATAAAATCAAGGACCTATCACACACGTACACTAGTTTTCCGTTCAAAATTTCGTCGATTCGAAATTCCGCATGACTGCCTGTGCGTTCGGAATCCCGTACGGAAAAAAGTTCGTTCCGAACGCAAGTTTTCCATAGATTTTGTAAGAGTCGCATCACACATTCATAAATTCAGTGAGCGTCGCACGACCAAAGTGAGTAGGTGTATTTATGTATGTTTTACAAGATCTTATATGTGTATCTCTTTTCGTAACCTTTCATCTTATTTTGTTAATTAATTCATCGAAAGAGTATATACATATTTGAAAAATCTCTGGAAAGGTAATTTTTTACATAATATTGACTATATTGCAAACTTAAGGTTTTATGGGGATGCACCCAATAACAATGATACGGCAACGTCGTCATTCGCTAGCAGAATGTCTAGACTCAATGCCTAGCGTCTGTCTGCCTTGTTATTCCGAAAGGAAATAAAAGTATGTGTGTGATGTATTTACGGAATCCCGAAACGGCATTCCGAATGTATGTGGCCGGCCTAAGTATTTGCAATAAGATTCACGTGTAAGGGTCGAAACCGGTTAATATATAAAAATTTGCGCGTTAAAAGTTGCTATTATTAATTAGTTTCGTTCAGAGATCAAAACGAAGAAAATTTATTTCCTTTTACAGTGCGTGAACCAAAAAGGGCTTCATATATTATTTAGATCCTAACTGACATTAGCATTTTGCTCAACGAGAACAATACAGAATATTTCTTTAACTTGCTTAGGTTTGAATGTAAAAGAAACATAAAGTGCTATATTATTGAGCTATATATTTAAATCTAAGAAATGAAAATTTAAAGGTTACGCCGTTTCTAATGGTCCATTTAAACTATGTGGTCATGTAAACTGTTTGCCGTCTTGTAGCGACGTAAGAGAATTCACTACCCCATATCATAACGTAGGTGTCTTAAAAAGCGACATAGTGAAACTCAAAAACAAGATGGGCCGTAGCATCTTCTAGTAAAAAGCTCAAAATAATAAAAATGCTGTTGCCAACTTATCTGGCAAGTGTGGCAACTGTAGGAAATATACTCTCTATGAGAACAATCTGTGTGGTAGGCGTATATTCAGCGGTGAACTTATAATAGACAGTCATGATTGAATGAATGAACCTTCGCGAAAATAATATTAAATTTGGATGGTTACATAAATGCAATATATGTAGTAAGATGATATAAATTATTCAAATAATATAAATTATTCAGTATAAATCCAGAAAAATGTGGCTTACCAACAGGATTAATGTGAGTACTTTTACACTCAGTCATCCTGTTGGTATGGTAAATCTACTATAATACTACAAAACAAATTTCAGAAGAGGTACATAAGCTTAGGCATTACATATAATAAATTAGTTTTTTCATATGATCTTGTAATCAAGGGTTTTACAAATCTAATATATAAAACTTAATATTTGTATGTCCGTATTTTATGCGTTGCTATACCGATCAAATTATGTCAACTTATTACTCGCATTTGCGCGAAGGTTATAGGATATAGGCATACTACAATATACTTGCAGTAGGTGGCGCTTATCGTCCTGACAATTTGAAATAATATAACCCTTCCAAATTTAATACGATATTTCCACAATTAGTTATTTTGCGGCTGCAATGCGCCGGGTACCAGATAGTTATATATAATTATTAGGTACCATGTATCAAAGTCCAGAAACTATGACTAGTTTAGCCTTAGATAAAATTTACACGATCTCCATAACCACGATACCTCAATAAATGTTTAAAAACCAAAATTCAACATTTTACTTTTATATTAAGTTGAAGACTCACACATAAAACGCTTTTTGTAAATATTTTACAAAATGTTTTTCGAATATAGTGACCACAATTACTCGCAAAGAGCGGCGAGAGCGCAAATATTTGTAAATCGGTTTCCGCAGACCTCAGGCATAATGGACAACAATTTAATCGATGTCCTTGCAATTATTTAACCCTCTTTTACAATACCGTGTATACTAAGATTTTATTATTTTTATTTTCAAAGAGGACGGTTCTCTGTGCATATATTATTCCTATTCAGTGAGACTTACTTATTTATTTTCAATATTTTCTTCAAATAATATAATAGCTAAAAATTATAATTATAGTTGGCGAATAGAGTTTTATCTACACCGGCAATAATTAATTACAGTTTTAATCTGCAACGTCCTCTCAGAAAAATCGGACGTCATGCAGCGATGAAGCGAATTTTATAGAGAGATGATCTTAGTGAGGGATCCGGGTATGACGCCGTGACTGGTACGCCAGACCCGGACCTCGATGACACTGAGGTCATCAGTATGAAAGAGATTGAACGTGCGATTCGAAGTTTGAAATGTGGTAAGGCTGCGGGACTAGACAGAGTTACTGCTGAAATGGTCAAGTATGGTGGGCCTCGCGTCTGGGACAGCTTTCATCTGCTGTGCAATTTGTACTGGCGGACGGGGGATGTCCCGGATGATTGGCGATCCGCGGTCATTGTGCCTTTGTATAAAGATAAAGGTTCACATTTTGACTGCGGGTGCTATCGGGCGATCAGCTTGACCAGTTTAGCAAGTAAAGTTTACTCGAAGGTTTTGACACGTAGGATGCAAGAGACATCGGAAAGATTTCTATGGGAGGCACAATGCGGATTTAGACCTGGAAGAGGATGCACGGATCAAATGTTTTCTCTCCGCATGATCACGAAAAAGCTTCTGGCTGCTCACCAGAAGATTTTCTGTGCTTTTGTGGATCTTGAGAAAGCATTTGATAAGGTTGTAAGGAATAAAATGTGGGAACTGTTGCCGGGGTATGGTGTGGATGGTCGATTGCTAAGGGCTGTGCAGTCTCTTTACTGTGACTGTAAAGCCTGTGTGCGGGTAGGGCATGACCTGTCACCCATGTTTAGCGTCCAAACGGGCGTAAAACAGGGTTGTGTCATGTCTTCCTGGCTGTTCATACTGTATCTCGACAGCTGTTTACAGAAGCTGAAAGATAGCTGTTTGGGTGTGAAATTGGGTGACATAAAAGTAAATTGTCTGCTGTATGCTGATGATGCAGTGCTTATTGCACCATCAGAGGCAGAACTGCAGGCATTAGTCACGTGTATGAAAGAGGAATGTGAAATTAAAGGTCTCCGTTTAAATGCTAATCAAACTAAGGTTCTGGTATTTGAAAGGGACGAAGAGAGAACGAAGTGTGAAATATGGGTAATTCAGGAATGTCTAGAACAGGTAAATGAAATTGTATACTTGGGGAGTGCTTTCAGCCGGGATGGAAGATGTGATTTAGATGTGGACAGGCGTGTCGCTGCCGGGAACAAAGTCAATGGTGCCCTGACTGCGTTAGTCAAAAGGCAAGGCGTAGTGAAGAGTGCACGCCTTGCAATACATAACGCAGTGTTGATACCGACTTTGTTATATGGCAGCGAAACCTGGGTATGCCAGAAGAAGCATAATAGCAAGTTGAATGCAGTGGAGATGCGATCTCTTCGTAAAATGTGCGGCGTTACCATGGCCGACCGAAAGCGAAACGAAGAGATTCACAATATGGCAGGTTTGAAAGATGACCTTATCACAAAAATTAATAAGGGCGCGCTTCGGTGGTTTGGGCACGTTGAGCGAATGAGTGAAGACCGACTGGTGAAGAAAATATATAGCGCGAAAGTTAATATTAAAAGATGTCGAGGTAGACCGAGACTAACTTTCGAAGACCATTTGAGCAAATTGCTCGAAGAGGGTAGGGTCAAGAGTACTCGGATACCTAGACGTGCATGTATGAAGAAGATAATGAATCTGAAAGAAGCGAAAGAGGTATGTAAGGATCGTGACACTTGGCGATCTGTTCTCTCTGGCTACCCCGTCAGGGATTGTGCGTGAAGATAAGTAAGTAAGTAAATAATCTACAATATTACCCGGCAGTGAAAACATCGTGAAGAATGGAGGTAGATATCATGTCTCAGAAATTCTTCTTACGTGGTAGAATCATGCTGCAGCTATTTTAGTAGTAGGTATAGTTGTAGCACGAATGGGTCAGCTCGACCGGGGAAGGACCACGCTCTCACAGAATACCAACGTAAAATAGCAGCTTAACGCTACTGTGTTTCGTATGGTGAGTGTAGAGAACCGGAGACCCTTTTTACTTGAAACGAGGCATTACATCTTAGTCGTCACGGTCATCGAGAATAGATGTAGATGTCTGTGGGTCGCAGCAACCACTTACCATCAGGTGGACTGTGTGCTCGTATGTCAACTTAATCTTATAAAAAAAATCTTATATTTCTTCTTCTTTAGTACAGTCTACCGCTGGACCACTCCTGTTGTAGGGAGGATTGGCTATAATCACCACGCATGGCAGCCGGATGGGCGATCATTATACCTCACGCATCTATGACGGTACTGTACCTAAACAATCTGGATATTGTACGTCGGAATTCATGAGGTCTTTCGGATATTTCTCCGAAATAGATTATCTTTTGCCGCCACAACATATTTCTTATTATTTCTGAGGAATATCTCGATAAGTATATGTTTCAAAAAGTATATACTTATTTCGATAAAGTATACAATTTTCGATAAAAGTACCTACATATTTTGAGGACACGTAAATTCTGTCAGCATTGTGGGAACGCAACAGCCTCTTTCTTGCTATAAAACCCTCTGAAAGTGACAGATTTGCAAACTAACTATACCATTGCAAGTGTATGAGATTTCTATCATATTATTTTATTCTTGGCAAGTGTACACTGCGGTCCACAGACAGATTAAGAATCAAAATGTAGATGCGCTGTAATAATTGGTGACCAAGAAGGAATGCCTCGTTACTGGTAAAAAGGATTCCCGGCTTTCTACTACCACCATAAATAATACAGCAACATTAAGCTGCTATTTTACGCTGGTAATCTGGGAGGGCGTGGTCTTTTTTCGATCGGCCCGACCCATTCTTGCTGTAGCCATATAATATAGTTCCCGCGTGGCTCTACCACGACGAACGTAGTAGACTGTTTTCGCACTTTAATGTCAAACTGAATATGTACGAATATATAAAAATACGTACAAGTATTTGTAAATTATCGCCCATATGTAACTTTGGAACATCTTTGCAGAGCATCTTTGATTATATAATTCATTTTATTATACTCGAGTAGATTTGTCACACATAGATATGAAAAATATTATGAAACTACACAGCAAAGTAAATGACATATTATTTCTAAATATTAGAATTTACTCCAATGGTGAGCTCAAGATGTGGAATTCTGGATAAAGATGTGATGGTTTTATCCAGCCCTGCATAACTATATTAAGTAACAAAAAAGTACATTAACAATAAATAAATGTTGTAACTAAAAATCAAATCAAAAATGTAAAAACAGCTTGTGTTTGTTTAATGACACTCGTTACGCATCATTCTTAACAACCCTAATTTTGCATTTTTTAAGAATAACACACTGGGACGCAGTCCACGTCATGGTAAGTAGATGCTGTAGATTATAAACATATACATTTATCCTCGATTAAAAATCAAAATGCGGATGCGTTAGAGAACTAAGATGGAATGCGTCGTTTCCAGTAAAAAGGGTGTCCGGTTTTCTACACTTACCATTCGGAACAGCAACATTAAGCTGCTTTTGACGCGGAATTCTGTGAGAACGTGGTCCTTCACCCGGTCGAAACGGCTCATTCGTGCTACAACGATAATTTTACAGCGTGGCTCTACCATGTACAAAGTGTGCATTTGTAATGACTGAGTTACTAAATAATCCATAATATATTATGTTTTAAAACTGTTTCTACACCACAAAATGTTTACCTCGTGCCTTTTGTAGTAATGTGACGGTAGGGTTTTGAGCTCTTGGTAGGCGGCTTGAAGACGTTCCTCCTAATGCACTCAATCCGGTTGCGGGTGCACTCTGGGAGGTCCTTAGCCGGCCCTCAGTCTCCGAACCACTTGTGCAGCCGTTTTGCTCACCACTCTATAATATAACATCAAATTTTGAATATTCATTGTAATATTATCAACATTACAAACTATGATGTAATTACTCGTGTAAATATTCAAGTTTTAAAAGCACAATTTTATATTACGTGTTTAAGTGTTTATGTTGAGCCATTTACTAACTTTATTCTTTAGAGGTAGGTAATAATTTACAATTGGAAACTTTTACATTTTGCTTGGTTAAATTCAATAATATTTTAGTTCACGAGGAAAATCGTATTCCAAACACGTTGCAAAGTTTTTTCAACGTTAAAATGTAGGATCAGCCTGTGTTCCTCATGTTCGCAGACGAAAGAAAACTTTTCCTCAATATTAAATATATCCTAAAGACGTATAAAACTTTATAAGATTCGCTTTGATTTTACTTTATTTCATATTAAACCGTCTTATACTTAAAATTTTATGCGCAAAAATTTTCGGTCCCTTGGGCGTAAAGCCCGTGAGTCTTTTGTAAGAAATTTTTATTTGAATTTTAAATAGAGATGAATGTATAATAAACATTACGATACGGCGTTATAATAAAAATAAATGCTTAAAATAATGCGAGTTACAGGAAAGTATTTTCATTCAAATTGCACAAGAAAACTCACGCTGTCAAAATTTTCTGCGCAGTTAGTGGAGCATGTTAGATATTGGTAGCTGTCGAAATATAATTACGGTGCAGGCGCCTACTGCATCACTACGAAAACATCGCCCCAACATTTTACTCGAATTTATTCGTATTTAAAATTTTGTGAAGACATAATTAGTACTCTATACTTTTTTTGTGGGTATGTCATTAATTGCATGTAAAAAGTAAATTAAAAACCTGAAAACGTAGTATAGCACGTTTTCAGGTTGTTAATTTACTTTTTAAATTTAATTTTGTTAATTTACTTAACGCTATATCGTCAAGCTGTAGAAATAGAAATATAAACTTTTTTTATAATTAAAATTGAAAGTTCTGCTAATTACATTAACATAATATAATCCTATTTGTATATTTCTACTACTAACATATTAATTATTCACTAAATAATAATAAATATTAAGGCCAGAAAAAGTATAAATTATATATAATATATAATTAATCTTAAAATTAATAACATAGATAAAGTTTTGTGGTTCTATTCAATAAATTTGATGGCTAAAATTTAAAAATTGTATAACAAATAATCGTCAATATTTTAATTTGCTTTTGTGGTTAAAAATATGTTTAGTTGTTTCTTAAAACTGTGAAGGCTCTAAGATTCTCTTATATATTTGGGTAAATGGTTATACAGACGAGGAACCATGCAGAATATATGTATATATAGACATGGCATTGTTAATAATTTTAAATTAATGAAGTATGGCTTACAACTCTCACTCTGGCTAATTTTACAAATGGCTCTTTCTCTTGCTCATTCTCTGTCCGCACAATTACCCCAGAACATAATACCATGTCTAAGCGTAGACATAACATAAACATGGTATGATGCCATTACAGCTGATGTGTTTACAACTTTTCCAAACATATATAACGTATATGAAAAACGATTTAACTACATACACACACTGCTCACGTGAGACTGCCAGTTCAAATTGCAATCTACATTTACACCCAAAAATTTTATATTTTCTGTGGTATTAAGATTTTTGTCCCAGATAGTTAATATTTAAATTATTTATTTTATTAGATTTTTGATAAAATGTCATTAGTTTTGATTTTTCTAAATTTATGTTTAGATTATTTATGTTTATCTAATTCACGATTTTCTCGAAAGAAAAATCTATGTTGCTTTCTAAATTTATTTTGTTTTTCCTAGTGAAAAGAACTGTTAACTTAGCTTTAGAGGGTTACAACATATTTTGTTTTTAATCGAAAATATGTTGAAATATTTAAGGTTCACAGTATCTACTTATACTACGTACAATCAGATGGACAGTGCGCTTTCGAAAACCCTTTTTTTTTTAAAAGGTCATTCAGCATCGGGATTTATTAACGTCCGTTTTAGATCTTACTAGAGAGGGGATGACTTAAAAATAAAGACACGAGCTTGGCAGGCGCGGGAACCCGCAACTTTTATTTTGAGTGGTTATCAGGAAGATACTGTTGCCCATCTCCTATCCTGGTTTCTCTCTGTCGCCTCTTAAAACAACCAGGAGATAATATGGGGTGATGTATACAAAAAATAACAAATTATTAGCTATTAATAAAAGATCTACAGTAAAGCGGTCTATTGCCATAAGGCCTACCGCTACCCTCAAAATGATATTACCCACACGTTTTTGGCATTACAGAATTTTCTACGAAAGCGTCATAGAACAGATATGTTACAGGCCAGCTTCCAATGAGAGCCATTTCATTGTAAAGTAACGACGAGAAAGCACACTTTCTGATTTAAATATTCTAGTAATGCAAAAGATACGAGTTGATTTCGAAGTAGCAGAAGAATTTTTTTTAAGGATGAGATAGTAGGTTGTATATCGATGAAAGAGTTTTTCAGAGATGAAACTGTAATTATATTTTAACTGTATATATATTTTAGTAATCTTACCAAATTATTTAAAACCGTAATGAATAGTCAACATTATTAAAAAGTACTGCTTTTACGTACTCAAACATTAAGTTTGAGTGGCATGATAATTGCATGCGATGAATGCGATATTGCCGTTCAATATATGAAAACTGCAAATAACCGCATGATCACCTTAAGTTTTTTATTAATACATATGTTAAAATGACATAAATATATTTTTAGGAATATTATTTATTTTATAAGCGCGTTCTCAGAAATCATGAAAAATAAAGTCATAACATTTGGTCTATACCGTAAATTTGCGGCGGGCGGGTGGTGTGTCCTCGAAGTGAACGGGACGGAACGTTTTGCGGGGCGTCTGGGGCGAGGCAGTGGGCGTCCAAACAGGCGGTGGTGGCGGCGGCGGCGGAGCGCTGGGGCTTCGCGCGGCGCTCGACGACTCGCTGGGCGAGCCCCTCGGCGCTGGCGGTGAGGCCCCTGGCCTCCACACCGCTGTCAATACGAAAAGCACCTATTACGAATCTATACATACATATAATAAATCTATAAAGAACGAAACAAGTTTAGAGGACTAAATATAAGTATAGAGGGTCTATTGGCATCACCACGTGAGTATTAATTTTTTTTTTTATTTGTATCTGTTTGTCTTTGTATTCATGATTCGAGTAAAATTTCAGTGTTATTTTTAGGTACCTGGTTACGGAAGTACAAAAAAGAAGGGTTTCATAGTAGCTAATAATTCCATCAGTCATAAGCGGTATAACACAGAGCTTTCAAAATGTAAGCTTTTATGAATAAAATTTTAATTTTTTTTAACCATTTTCACGTAGTTGTAACTGACATTATACTTAAGTCAAGGTTTTTTAAATATTTTAATTTTTCATCAATTTAAATAAAAAAAATTAAATGAGTTCATGCATTTTAATAGTTTATAAATATAGTACAAGAGGGTAATATGGTCCTCCGGTTAATATAATCACTTTCTTATAACTCAAAAGCTACAGCCTTATTTGTGATACGATAGCTCTTCATCAGTCATTCAAACAATAAACGGTCAAAAGAGCGTTGCTGCATCAACGCCATTAAGACAGTTAAATACTTTAGTTGATTTTAGTATTGGGTAGTGTAGGTAGTTTTTTTAAGTTGATTTTTCGAAGTTTGTTATTTTTGTCGTATTGTTGCCAAGTTGTGTTGCTGCTATTTTTTCTGTGTGTTCTGTTGCTATTTTTTTACTTAATATATTAGTTATACGACTTTGTGTTTTTGTGTCTTTTTTTATAGGAGAGGGGGCAAACGAGCATGCGGCTCACCTGATGGTAAGTGACTACCGCCGCCCATGAACAACTGCAACACCAGGGGAATCGCAGATGCGTTGCCGGCCTTTTAAAAAGGAGTAGGCTCTTTTCTTGAAGGTCCCAAAGTCGTATTGGTCCGGAAAAATCGCTGGTGGTAATCGATTCCACAAGGAAGTTGTGCGAGGAAGAAAACTTCTTCTAAATCGCACAGTGGTGGACCGCCAATCATCCAGATGGTATGGATGGTATCGGGAGTTCTACCGCGATGTGCGTTAGTGAAATTTGGCGGGTGGGATTAATCCGAACAATTCCTCAGAGCACTCCCCATGGTAAATGCGAAAGAAAATGCTAAGAGATGCAACATCTCTTCGCAGTGCCAATGAGTCGAGCCGATCGGAAAGGACTCGGTCGTCGACGATTCGAGCCGCTCTGCGCTGGATGCGGTCAAGTGGAAGGAGCTGGCACTGGGGAGCCCCAGACGGCGGTTGTTCATAGGCGGCGGTAGTCACTTACCATCAGGTGAGCCGCATGCTCGTTTGCCCCCTCTTCTATAATATATATATATATATATATATATATATATATATATATATATATATATATGTGTGTGTGTATATATATATATATATATATATATATATATATACAAAAATTGTCAGACTTAATACGTCCAGTCCGGGAGCATTACTATGATGATTTATGATTGGTTATATAATATCAGACAGCACATAATTGGAAGCAGTTGAACTAGTAAAGTTATCCTATGTAGGTAATATTCAGTGCAATCTGTGATAAAATGTGGTGGAGTTTCATGGCACGACATAGTTTGATGCTTAATTACTATAATGATATCTAATTTAAAATAGTATAATAAAATAGTATTAAAAAGTGTAACGAGGTGAAGCGTACCATAGGAATAAACCTGGATATTCGATAAGTCAAAAAATATATTTTGAGGACATATATTTTTTATAGATCAAATAGAATATTTATAGAAAACAACCAACGCGCTTTGGGGTAGCGCGGGGAATTCAGCCCTGCCACATAATACTCCCAGTAATGAGAAGAGGCCTGTGTCCAGTCGTTTTAAGGCTTGCTTTTAGAGAAACCGTTGAACATTTAGTTAAGTAATTTATATAATTTTCATTTTCTTAAGATTTTTTTTCTTAAGGTGTTCATAGTTCACTTGAGTATAGGTACCATTGAACAGCCTTTGGTAAAACTTTTTTTTTATATATTAAAAACAAGAAATTTTGCTTATAGATAAGTTTATTTTAATTTTAAGGATGAGTGAAGTTACATTCTTGAAAAATTTAAAGTAACATGTCAGAGATGGGAATCGAACCGAATCAAATGTGAAAACTAAGAATATGTTGTTAATTAGTAGAGCCAATTATATGATAATTAGATTTTTTATCTATTTTCATATTACTTAAAAAAAGTTAAAGAGAACACGGCTACTGGCTGCGGTTTTAAAACATTTTTCCAGAAAAATGTGAAATAAAATACAACAGAAAATTAAAATTTAATAAATCAAAAATCTAATCCCTTGAAAATTTGAATTTTAAACTTCATGTCCGTATTTGGGTACCTGCACATTATAACTACGCCAAAATTCAATTATCTACGTGAAATAGTTTCTGGGAAGCACTCTTCAAGTTTTAAAGCACTTTAACTATCCCAAAATAATATAATATGCTTGGTTATATATATAGCAAATACAGCAATACTATATAGAATTTTTTACGTGGTAGAGCCACGCTGCCGCTATATTATGGTTTGAGCAAGAATGGGACAGCTCGATCGGGGAAGGACCACGCTCTCACAGAATATCAGCGTAAAATAGCAGCTTAATGCTGCTGTGTTCGTACGGTGAGTAGAGAACCGGGGACCCCTTTTACTGGAAATGAGGCATTCGATCTTAGTCGTCAGGGATGACAATGCATCTGCATTTTGATTTGTAATCTAGGATAGATGTAGATGTCTATACCACAGCAACCACTTACCATCAGGTGGACTGTGTGCTCGTTTGTCACCTATAGGCAAGGCCAGGCAAATAACTTGTATGTTCTCACTGGCACTAATCGAATACAGTGATTGGGAAATTGATATTTTTGTTTAACTGCCACTTTATTTCCCGGCCGTGATAGAGGATAAAATTGGAGTGTCTGTCTGTAATATTGAAATAACCGGCTTCTAACAAGTATAGGGAGTTATTTGTGTGCTATTAAGACGTAAATAATCATTTTTATAATTTTCGCTGTCTGCCTGTCTGCCAGGGCTAATCTTCAGAATGACTGAACCTATTTTGATGAAATTTACGAACAGATAGAAAGCAATGCCTGGAAGGATCTAAGCTGTATTTCATCCGAAGAAATTGACATTATTAGATCCCCTCCGTGCGACGCCGGATCGCTAGTTATTAATAAAATAAGTACAGATAGAAAATTCTTTATTGCACTTAAATAAAAAAAATGTCATTTCGGCATTCTCTGCCAGCTAACCTATATAACAAAGTATGTAATATTTGTTCACTTTTCCGCTGCGACGACGGTGCTATGTCTATGCGATGTATATCTATTGTGCACGACACAACAATATTAAACAAACGAAAGAAAATGCTTATTGTAACCGGCGCTAGTTGAACAACCTAGGAGCGGTGGGCGGAGCCATGACGACGGTGTAATTATCAGGCCACGCCTCTGGTTCGACAACTAGCAAGGGTTATACGGCGGGACTAGCGCAACCTTATGTTGAATTTAAATTATAATTTGTGTAAATAATTGTATTACTTGTATCGAACGATAAAAAATAATGATTGTATTATAACTAAGTTTAAGGTTGAGTTGTAACTGTGCAATAACTCTCCCAAATAAAGGCACCGTATGAACAGGGAGAGTTAGCATAGTCTTCTAATGAAAACTGTAATTGTTAAATATAATAAATGTTTACTTTATTATATAATAAATATATTAGGCCGTTAGGCACATAAAATAATAGTAGTAGTGTAACCAAAGAGCATGTTATCGTGACGCGGCCGCGGAGCAAATGAAGCCACGCGCACCGCGCCACGACGTTTTATATTTATAGTGCTGAGGCGGGGGGAAGGATTCTCCGCCTAAAGCAGCTGAAAATTATAATGTAAACCTGTAAATAAGTAAAAATATTGATATGTACACCCTAGTCTAACAAGTAGTTATAAGAATATTATATAGTGAATTAGGTTTATTAGTTTGTAAGGTTATTAAATAAATAAAGATAGGCGCGGGGGTGAGGCAAGGGTCCGCTGGCCAGCAGCGGCCAAATCATATAAAAGACGGGCCGGCCGCTAGGGTCAGCAGTCGCTCTCCAGCCACCGAAAAGGCACCAGCAAGAAAAGAAAAAGTACAAGTTCCTCCTCACCGCCGCTTGCCTCCAGTTAAAAGCAAGACCAGCGCGTTTTATTCCATTTTTCGCACGGCATTACGGCGATCCGTAATATTAATGGTCCTTCGAGAAGCCGGATTACTAGAAGAAAAAGACAATATCGGTCTTGGTATTGCCGGAAGAAAGAAGCAAACCGCAAGAACGAAAAAATATTATTGTGAAGAAGAATGGTGATTACGCGTAGTAACAACGGAGAATCATCGAAGCGTCGCAAGGATGAACAAACAACCCAGGGGGCCACAGAAGAGGCCTCCGGGGGCGACTCAGCCGCTAGTGGTTCAACAAACACCACTAGCGAAACCACAACGGTCAGCGATACGACTGCTACCTCGGCAACCGATAGAACAACCGCAACGGAAGAAACCCAGCAAGAGGGTGATCAAAGATCGCAGTGCACATTGAAGCCCGGCGAGACCAGGTCACGCCGCTCCGTAGCCTCACGCAAGAGACTCCTCGCGGAGTTAGAGGCGAAAGAGCGGTTAGCCGAACTCAAGCTCGAGCAGGCTCAGTTGCAAGCAAGAACAGAATTGCAAGAAATACACGTGCAGCGACTACAAGCAGAAGCCGGATCAACCGATGAAGATGAAGAAATAGAAGACGATTTGGCATCAGTGCGCATTAGTACATGGTTGCAAGAAAAACCTACATCGCAACCCGCGCCTCAGCCCGCGCCACAACCCGCGCCGCAGCCTGCGCCGCAACCCACGTCGTACTTCGCGCCGCAACCAGCACTGCAGATCGCACCACCCGTACTTCAACAGTGTGCGCCGC